CAGGATCTGCACGTGCCATCACAGCGTTCCAGTAGGATTTAAACTGGAATGCATGCCACGCAGGAGTAAACCCCCATCGAGTGTCAGCTTCTGTGTGACGGCGGCCATGTGACACCCAGGGCGTGACACGGTCTGCCCCCATCGCATACAGCCTATGGCAACCATCTCTGATCTTGATGACTTCCATATTTATAGACGCCCAGCCGAGTGGGCTCCCTCATGACCGAAGCCCCTCCCCTGTCAAACTTCTCGCGTTTATTTTGGGATGTGGACCTGCAGCCGATTTCCATACTATTTCACCAGCCCACCCACACATTCATGTTCATGAACTAGCAGAAGAAAATCTCTCCTGAGTCCAGGGCCCACATGAGCCTTGGCACCATTAACTATCAACCAAATTATGCAAAATCCAGCTTCCCAGTGTTTATCCTGCTTGCTCTTTCAATTAGACAAGGCTTGCTGTGAAATTAAATAACCCAGTGGACTCATATTGTGAACATGTGAACATTTGAAAGGATGTTAGCAGATCTTGTAAGAAAAACCATTTTAAAATCCACTTTCGCGTTCAAGCGCGAAGTATTTTTACCCCACAGGATTTGAAATGATCTTTGTCCGTGAAAGCAGAGTCATTGCTGCTTTTATGTCTGTCGTCACATTAATGTACACATTAATCCCCCTCTGGATGTAATGCAAGGCCTCTGCACACCTTCTTTGAAGGTCAGTGCTTCCCAGTGGCTGGTGAACCAGGCTTTTCATTTTCAAGGTCCTTATGTCTGAAGAATTGTTGTTTAACAATTGTTGATCTTTCGAATGGCTTCAACAAATTGACATTGGCTCGGGTGAATTAATCTGCAGTTTTCTTTGTAGGTGCATTTGTGGTACAGGCAGAGGTGGACATTTCAGGTCCAGAAAGTAAAAATCCAAACCAGGATTTCATTTCAACCAACCAGTTGAGCATAAAGAGTCACAGTCACAGAGTACTCAACTGGTTGGTTGACATGAAATCCTGGTTTGGATTTTTACTTTCTGGACCTGAAATGTCCACCTCTGGGTACAGGGACAGAAGCATCACACCGTCTACATCAGTGAGGTCATGTACTGTATCTACAAACATGCTGTCCTTCAATCTCTGCATGGCGACAAATCCTTAATGTCAAAGGGTGGTGCTGGGTCATGTCCAGAGCTCACAGTCTCTGGTCATGGCTAGTTGGAGCTGACTTGGTGTTGAGAGTCACAGTAGCCTGAAACGGTCGAACACATTTGAAATGACACTTTGTTTCCAAAGTACAGGTACATTGGAATGCTTCTCGTCACATATCCCATCTTGCTGTTCTTTGAGGCGTTCATGGGTCTCGAACCAACAACATTCTGATGACAGGCCCAGAGACCGAACCCGCTGAGCTGCCCACCGGTATTCTTTTTGACAGAATAGCAATCCAGTATAGATGCACTTGAGTTTCACAGTGATTCAGTTTCGTTTCTCTTCTGTCCACGGTACTGGAGTTTGTGTTGTTGGTGCTGGTGGCTTTGATCTGGGAGCCTCTGTTGTTGTCACAGACTTTCGACGTGATGACAACATGTCCGCCGTCAGACGCCGCTTCCCACACTGAGTCACCCTGTTTCTGCAGGGATTTTCAAATTCCCGTCTTAGATGAGTCTGCGCTGGGGGGGGGGGGGGCACTGGGACGTGCCTCAACATGATGGGGTGACTGTGAAGTGAGCAGGTATCCGCCAAGGTGTTGTTATGGGTTTCGGTGAGCCGTCAGCTGATGGATCAGCTGCTACAGTGTGGGGCTGCTGTTTGTCTCAGTGTGCTTTGGTGGCCATTTAAGGTTCTAAGGTTCTGATGTTGCAAGGACCAGCATTTGTGAACCTCACTCTTTGTTGTGAAAGGACCCTTAACACAGAGAAATAACTAGACACCAACAGTACTGGGAAAGAGTTCAGTGTACGTCAAGAAGCATTTGAACTTACTTTGGATTTTAAAGAAGATGCATTTTCAAGCATATGCTTGTTGTTCTTGGGCCGAATTAGTTCTGAGGGAATGCATCCATGGTTCAGATGGTTTTTCCTGTGTACCTGTTAGTTTACTTGCCCATCATAGCACCACTCTCTGTTCTACATGCACCATATTCATGAAGACCGGGAGGCTGTACGGTTTAACGTGCTTTGGTCCAACATCTGGTTCGCTACATCAATCATAATCCCAAGGAAAGCCAATAAACATGCATGAAAGGCGTACAATCACGTATCTCCTTCTCTGCTCTGTTTCCAACCTATGGCTGCATTTCAGGTGTCGCATATCAGGGCACGGAGCTGAATGAGTCTCATTAGCTCAGCATGTTTGCTGTGCAGCTCACTGCCTTCCAATGTCTCATATTATGTTCCTTTTATAAGAGAGCAACTCCCAGGGCTGCTGTAAATACCGCTGGATGGATTCGAGTGGATGGATCGAGATCCGATATCTAAATAGCCGTTAAGTAGGCTGTAAGGAAGAAGCGCTCCGTCATTACGGGTGTGACTGTCAGCTTAGCAATAGTACATTTTAATCAAAGTGAAATGGCACGAGTTGTCGTGGTAACCTTATGCCTCGGTGTTGATTGTGCAGTGCTGAAAATGCGAGGAGGGTGTTTAGGGTCACCAGGGGATCAGGTGGGCCAGTTTCTGCTTGCCCGCCCTGGGGGGGCGAGCGTTACACATGATACTTAATCAGAACAGTTTTTCCACTAGCTTGCTGGGCCAGATCAAGGCCAAGCTGATCTTTTTGGGAGCCTAGAATCACCTTGCTTGGTAATTCTGTTTGTATCGCTCCATTCCCTCTCCCCACACTTGGTAAAATACATAAACACACATAAACAGCGGCTTTAGTTTAACTGAGAATTAACAGGGATATTTCTGTCTCCTGTGATGGCATGGGGAAAACCACAGCTTTTGGATACTCTGCATTTTGTGTGTGTGTGTGTGTGTGTGTGTCAGCGTGTGTCTGTGTCTGTGCTTCATGGTTGTCATGACGAGTTCATTTTCCTTACGCATTTTGAGTGCAGTGGACCCCTCTGCCCCAAAGAACGAAGAAGATGAAAATTTTAACACAGCGTTATTAAAATGCCCTTAAGTTACATGGGCACATTTCTGTGAATTTGATTGCGGTAGTATTGACTGTTCCCGGAAATTTGTGACGCCAGGAACCCCTCCCCCCCCCCCACAGAGCATAACAGTCCTCTACAGTGTCGTGTTAAATTATGGGATTGTGCAAGTCTGCAGTTTGGCTCTGACCATCCAGGTACCTTCAGGTTCCAAAACTCCCTTTCAAGGCCCCTGTTCTGTGAAAAGTAGCAGTGCAGCTTTTTTAGGCTGAAAGAAGAGAAACAGGTGTTTATGTTGGGGGTGGGGGGGGGGCACATACCCCCACACCCCCACCACACACATGGAGAACGGCCCGACGCAGCCTGATTCATGGCTGTCCATATTGTCCGTAGGTGAGGAAGCCCCGCCCCTTTTTGACAATCACATGGGCTGTCTGACATTCACAGAAGAGCCTGTGTCTACAGAGGCCATAATGTCCACAGGCTTGAAGTGTGTCAGCAGTCAGGTGGTTGGTGTGTGTGTGTGTGTGTCTGTGGGTTTGCATAGATCACATTTGAGGACCAAATTGTCCCCAAAGTATAGTAAAACCTGAAATTTCCCTACTTTTGGGGACATCTTTTGAGGTCCCCATTTGGATAACCTCAGTTTTATAAAAATTTTTGTCTGTCCCCGAGACACATCCATGTCTGTCATGTGGGGCATTGAGGTTAAAGGTCACGACAGCAGCAATCGCCTCTGGCAGCTGTATTCCCCCCATAGTTCTCTCCTTCATTCCCCGGAGCCAGGCTTCTCTAAAGCTCAGCAAATTTGAGGTCCCCATTTGGATAACCTCAGTTTTATAAAAATCTGTGAATGCAATCAAAAAAGTAAGAATCAAACAAAAAAACTCTTGTATTTTGTTTGGTTACTTATGGTTAAGGTTAGGATGGGTAGAGGTTAAGGGTGTCCTGATTGATTAGGGTTTTTCCCATAGAAATGAATGGATAGGAAAACCAACTGTGTGTGTGTGTGTGTGTGTGTGTGTGTGTGTGTGCATGCATGTGCATGTTTTGCATATCCATTCTGTCACTGTCCTTGTGAATGTGTGCATACATATCTCTGCGCTTGTCTGCCTCATGGCCACAAAATGGACGGGCACTGGCCGCTTCTCTCCTTGACCAGACCGAGGCTGCAGGCTCCCTTGCCAGACAGTCTGCCCGCCCCATCCCCACTCTGCTGCGGTGTCTGGGGGGGGGGGGGGGGGGGGGCTTGCATAATGCCAGCAGGCCCCTTCTGGAGCAGCTTGCTGCCATACAAGCCCACAACGCTCTCCCACCCCCAACCATCGATCCAGAGCAATGCAGGGAAGACGACCCGTCCAGCTGACAGAAATATACCCGCTTAATCGGCGTGTTTTTGCAGTGTGGCGCAAGCGTGTGCCCGTCGACTCACCATCGCGGTTAAACCGGAAGCCGTTAAGCTGGGCCGAGCTGTTTTCTGCACTCTGACGTGCACCCGTCCCTCTGCGCGAGGGTATTTATAGCGCAAAATAGGCATTACAAGTATTCCTGGTTTGTTAATATCTCCTGACAGCGTGGCACAAGTAAACAGCGCCACGTAATTATAGCGTGTTGCTCCTAGGTGAGGTGATTTAAGGCCTCACCCATGCTTCTCTGTGAGAGCCTTATGCCCCAGAGTCTCATATTAAAATGAATCCATTCTGCCTCAAGTTGCGGGGACTGAGTAAACGAGCACTCCTCTCCCCTCCACCCCCCACCCCGGTCTGGCTGGCAGTGCCTGATTCACTATTCATGAGGGCGTGTCTGTTCTGAAGGGGGCCACACCCACCGGAGGAGGTGAGGCCAGAGTTTAAAAGCCGAAAGAGCTCCGTCACTCACGCTGTGTCCTTTCTCCTCCTCTGCCCGCTTCCTTTGCAGCCTAAAATGACCCGCGGGCTGAGACCTGCCGCGTAAATGGCGTCCGCCGTGAGAGATGCAGTCGTCTGGTACCAGAAGAAGGTGAGTGCCGCTTGCATGCTTTTCCAGCCGCTTTTTAAACGTCTTCCATTTGCCGTGCCGTTCGCCCAGCCTGACTTGTAGCTGTCGCTCTTGGGGAGATAGTTCATGCCGTCTGCTGTTCATCTGATATTTTTGTCCGTCCCCGAGACACATCCATGTCTGTCATGTTGGGCATTGAGGTTAAAGGTCACGACAGCAGCAGTCGCCTCTGGCAGCTGTATTCCCCCCATAGTTCTCTCCTTCATTCCCCGGAGCCAGGCTTCTCTAAAGCTCAGCAAGTTGCAATAACAGCCCTTTAGCGCCCCAGCTGCCTGTGGGCTGACCCGCCACCCTCGGATATTCTCCTGCGTTTGTGCCCCCCCCCCCAGCTGGAAAGCTGGAAGCCTTAAAGCCTCTTTAAAGGAAACGTGCTTTTAGTTTTTGTCCCTATTTTAATGTCGGCAGTGACGATAACGGCAAGAGCTGCTCATTAAATTGCGCTGAATTTATAAGGCACCGTGGCAGACAGCCCTGTAACGGACACCACTTGGACAGGGACACGGGTGCTATAAATGTTACCCAGCCTTTCCATCCAGTCCTCCGCTCAAGCTTAAAGGTATTACGATGTATTAATTACGTTATTTAAGCCCTCAAAGATTACCTTTCTCCGGAGATGCAGCCTTTTCTGTACAGAATCCACCGCAGTCATCGTTCAACAATGGACACAATCGGCTGCATTGCTGGGCATGGATGTGTATACCTTGCATAACATGCAACAGGCTGCAGTTTTTTTCCCCTTTATATAATGGGGTGATATTGCGTGTTTAATGCACTAATGGACCGCAGGTCTCCTGCTTGGAACAGTGCAGTTCTGCTGACCTACATCTTCTCTGCTTGATAAATATTACATACCCATCTGCACGTCGCCTGCAGCCGTGCTCCTGTGCATGTTCTGATTTTAAAATTGAATCTAAATGAGGATAAAGATAACAAAATAAAGATGACAAAATGTAGAATTTCTAAAAAAAAATTGTTCATTTTTGCTGAATTTATCAGTTTTGCTAAAATACAAGTAAATTTATTGATTTAAAAGACAATTTTATCCAAAGTAACACACAATTGAAAAAGCAGTATCAGACAGTTAGATAGAGCTGTTGCGAGTTAAGGGCCCAACAATGAAATCACTCGGCTGCTCTGGGATTTGAACCGTCCAGTCGCAGGCTCAGCATCCTAACACGTCGAGCCACACACGCTCCAGTTTCGTCAGTAAAACACCAGTAGCAATTTCACAACTTTGTATTTTATAAGATCTGTAGCTGTAGTAGGAAATTAAAGGAATAATGACTGATTAAAAAGCATTCTAAGCTAGTCGTTTTATTTTTCGAATCTACGAAAAACCTGACATTAACATTCTCTACGTTGTTATTTGACTTTTATCAGGAAGCTGCCAGGGACATGACTTCCTGTGACTGAACTATTCCGTTTCTGCGTCTGCCAGCTCGTCGGCCTGATAGAACTTGCAGGCTCATTACACCTCTTCCTCTAACATTCATCTTGTGATTCCCCTCAAAGCCGGTGTCTGATTCGATCCAATTCTTGATCTTTGGAGATGGTTACGACAGACGGGTCCCATCTGCGACGTGCAGGTCGCTTAGCCTCTCCCCCCTGGCCCACGCTCACCAGGGTCACCTCCGACAACCCAGCTTCAGAACGAAGTAACATAAGCAGCAGAGATTGCAGGGGGCAGACTGTCGGATCAGAATGAAAGTCAGCCGCGTATTGAATGCTCCAGCTGCAGTCGGGGCAGGTTGCGCAGTAAACCTGTTTGGTGTGTAACGTGTCCCAGAAGGTACATCGCCATGGGGACAGTGGTAGCAGTCACACCTATTGGCTCATCCAGGTGGATTCTTGCAGTTTCTCTGAAGCTGATTCCTTGCATTTATGCTTCGGGCATATTTTTTGTATCCTGCTTACTGTGGGGTAGAAATACCTGTATACTCTATAAAAGATTATGTAGAGGTGAATTAGTGGATACAGAATCCATTGGTGATGTCAGTGCACTAGGGCAATGAACACGCCCCCACCCACTCTGAACGTCCAGTCCCCCTAACAGCCGGGCGGAGGGAGGCTTCGACATCGATTTAACGTTAGCAGACTCCACGCATGATTTTCCACGTTGCCAGGAAACAGAGTAAAGCAAAGGCTGTTTTTATTTATTTTCATTTTAAACTCCTGACCAGGAACGGCACAGGGTTGCTCCTGGCCTCAGCCGTCCTGTGATCCGCGGAGCTTCCCAGGTGATAAAGAAAATGGTTACTTTTGTCTGAGGATGCATTTCTAGGCTGAGGGAGAAATCTGATACAAGCTTTGTGTTGAAGCAAATACTTCTGAGGGGATTTCATTTCTTTACGGGGGGGGGATGAAAATGGAGCCTACTGTAAAATTAGTGTTTTTCCTCCAGATGCGGCTCTGTTCTTGGGCTTTCAGGAAACAGTTGTCTTTTCATTTAAGTAATCCCTCTGCGGTGTTACAGTTCCTGTCACAAATGGCATAATCTTTTCTGTCGCCACCTTTGTCTCGAGACGCGTGTCTTGATGTTGTAGCCATGGTAACCGTGACAAAATAAAAACCCAAGGCGATTTTTAACTAAGATGGGAGTGGCTCCTGTTTTTACGCAAGGACAGAAAAGGCACCGTGCCATGAGCCTTTTGGGCGACGGCGTTCATTCGGCGGGTCCTGTCCGCGGATCACGATGAAGTCACCGCCAGCAGTCTGCACCGCCGTGCCGGGTGAGCGAGCAGACCTGCCGTGTCCAGGGCCACAGGACGTGACAGACTGGGGAGAGAGAAGTTTCCTCCGCTTGATGATGTCCCTGCACGGGCTGCTGGTGTGTGAGTGTGTATGGGCATGTATGTATTATACTGTGGGGACAAAATGCCTCCACAATGTGATAACAAGCTGTTATTGTGACATTGTGGGGACCACTTTTTCGGTGCCTACAAAGAGAAACTCAATTTTATAAATCTGAATGCAATCAGAAAAACTAAAAATGCCAAAAGGTTAGGGCTGGGTAGGTGTTAAGGTTGTCATTGTTGGAATTAAGGTTTTGCCCATAGGGATGAATGGACGGTCCCCACAAAGATGAATGCAAATGTGCGTGTGTGTGTGTGTGCGTGTGTGCGTGTGTGCGTGCGCGCGTGTTTGTTTTATAACTGGTCTGGGCCTTGTCTATCCTTCAGGGAGTTTCCGGAGCCAGTGTCACCTGGCACACACAAGGTTTACGAGTGGCATACCATCCATGCCTACAGTCAGCTGATGGCAGCTAGGGTGGCATGGCGAATGTAAGATTAGGGTGAACAGGAAACAGCTTTTCAGGAGGTGCTCTCTCAAGTACAGGATTTGTTTTTTGTTTCGCAATTTAGATTACAGGCCTGGCAGTGGTGTGTGTGCCCATTGACACAGATGGGCACAGAATGGGCACAGGCCATGGCCAAAGCCACATTATTCCGGTAACGGCCGAGGGGACAGGTGGCAGGTGGCAGGTGACAGGTGCGCTTCTCCACCAGAGATTCCAAATTTATGAATTTATAAATAATGTTCACCAATTTTCCTTGTTGAAGTGATGAACACAGATACAAAGATGGAACTGTGGGAAATCCAGAGCGAGTGAGGTTCTAGAGAAAGCGGAACTGAGAGCTTAGCATTTCTAACTTACCAGTTATCTTCACTCACTCGCCGGGTGAAAATGCAGGTTTTTCATCCGAATCATCATCCCGTTTCCCCTCAAAGGACAAGTCCGGTACAGAGCACCTGGAACAACCAGTGAAGAAATTTACATTTAATTATTTAGCAGATGCTTTTGTCAAAAGTGACGTATAAGCGAAGCAGATGGTGCATCACAAGCGTACAGCTGTCAAGGAGCCAACTCAGGTACCAGTGTTGCTAGGCTGCACTTCCAATCACTGACCTGTAACAAATGCAAGATAGTCATGGGGAAGAGAGCTACGCAACATACTATAGAACCTGATATGAGACAAGCCATTCGAATAAATCACTCCAAGAGAACGTAGGAGGAACCACGTCTAAGCACAACATACAGCAGAGCATCCAGTGGTTCCAAATGAAGCCATTTCAGTAAACTGTCCACATGGACAGAGAGGCAGGGGGGAGTCAATGTTTGGGTGGGTTTAGTTGAGCTGCTTCTGGAAGTGATTGGGTCTTAAGACATTTCTTGGTGGTTAAGAGAGATCTTAACCTTCTGGTGATGTGTCTGCTACAGAGTAGCTTGTTCCTCGAATTCTATGTGATCAACAACAGTTCACAATGCTCCGAAAATCTGGAAGCATCACTGAGTGACTTATCTAATTGCAAAATTGCAAATATCTGTGTCTTATTTTGACAGATATAGAAGGTTCCTGTCGGCTCAGTGTGACAATTTCAGCGTGTACTCAGCAGACACTTCAGCAGTGATCTGGGTACATTAGAACTGGAAGGGCTACATTAGCTGAAGGTTGCCAGCGGCGACAGCATGCCCTATGCGCATTGGCTGCTCTGTGCAGTCACTCGAGAGCCATTACTTAATCCTGGCACCTATCTGCTCATGCCCAGTGAATGAGCCAATCGGCTTTGTCGATGTTGAACCGTGCTCTGAGAATCTATTCTCCCTGGCAGTTTCACTGTACAGCAAGCCAGTGAAGGATACACAAGGTTAAAATCTGGGCAGTTAACATGTGGGTTTTTTAATCAATAAAGAGTCTTTCTAAAGTACCCTTAGATCATGTCACATTGAAATCTTCCTCCCACGTAGCTGTGCTGCACATCAGAATTCATTTCCGCAGTCAGACACAGATTTGCTCTTCGAAGCCTTGATTTCCCTCCATCGTGCTCATTGGCCGTGCGCTTATATAAGTGACATTACGGTAGTATTTCAGGGCATGGTGCTGTGGGATGGCTGCACCCTCTCTGTTTGTGTCAGCTGGTCCCGGGCTTGGCTGGGAGCTAGACAGCAGGCTTACTAACCTATTTGGCTGTGGAGTCTGGTGTGGGGGGTGGCCATGGGGGGAGGATCGTGGTGGATGCTGCTCCCTAAAAGCAAGCAGGTTCCTGTTGTTGTGGCCACATGCTGCCCTACTCAGCAGGCTCCTCTTTAAACGTACCGCTGTCTCTCGTGACGGATTCATGAAATATGCAGTGCGTTCAATCAAGACCCAGCTGGGCCGACCTCCCTTGTCTCGCTAGGAAATGCCCCAGGAGCCTGGCTAATTAGCCCCCTCCCCCCCCCTTCCCAACAGTCAGAGAGCTTTGTATTGATTTTCCAAGCTTCGTTCATGATAGGACCCATTTTTCAAGCAACTTCACGGGCACTATATCCTTGCACACTTCAGCTGACAAACTGTCATCAACATCTCATTACAGCTGTTCACCAAAGGTTCAAAACTTCCCTGTAAAAGAAAAGCGATACTACAGCACTGTATACTCTCCTGCCCTGCTTGCCCGTTCTTGCCTATGCTTGCTTTTGCCCAGGATAAAATCCTTTGGAAAACCCTGAAGGATGACAGAGCATTCTCATACCAGGATGGGTTTTCCTGGAAGTGCGGCAGTGCATGTCATCAAGGGTGATGCTGAATCCCTGGTGGCAGCTATTTTCCGACTTCGAGGCGTGAGCTGGTTATGATCTGCGGCCTCCTGCCATTGATCCCTGACTATGCCAGGTCTTAAAGGATGCTTCCATTCTGTTTTCTATATGGGAAAAATAACCTTGTGCTGTAAAAGTTCACCCTGTGAATTCTAAAGCAGACAGGCAGCCGGTGCTAAAAGCACTGAAGTAGAAGGACACAGGTTTCAATCAGGTGTAATTAAGTGCCCACTGATCTTTAACGAGGCTAATGGCAAGCTCCTCTTCTTCATTATCTGGGTGAGAAATCAGGCTGTATTTTTCTCGTTGCTTCCATCGGGTGTGTGGTCTGCATCGAGCTCCACGGGCTACACATCCCAGCGATCAGAGGTTTATAAAAGGGTAAATGGCCACAGAGTGTGGTCACATCTGCAGAGAGCAGTCCAGCCATGGTACAGTTACAGGGATATGTTCTGAAGGAGGTTACTGACACAAGACACGGGTATCTCAGATCGCCGTTGGTGTCAGACTGATCTGGAGGGCTCAGAGTGGAAGGAAACATCTAAGTAAATGACATTGAATTATTTATTTTTAGTCGCATCTTTGTTCCCCTTCTCCTATGAGCCAAAGCTGTAATGGTAATGGTTTTCACTTCTGTTTTTATTTCCTTTGTGTCTGGAGTATTTGAGGAATACAGGAACTAAACCATTTAATGCGTCTTTATTCGTCTCAGGTGGCATGGAAAGACTGCTGATAAGGTCAATTTCATTTACATTTTTTTACAGATCGGAGCCTATGATCAACAGATATGGGAGAAGTCAGTGGAGCAAAGAGAGATTAAGGTAGACCTTCTATTTCCCTGCTATCCGCCTTCTCTTCTCACACATCTCTGCTCTGTGTAAATTACCATTTCTGGGGCTAAGGACCCGGAGTCATCTCTTCATGGGATGACAGCCAGTCTATGTATCCTCTGTCGATAACTGATTGTTGTTTTCATTCATGCTTGCAGTTAACATTTCCCCTTTTTGATGCTTTTATTTTCGCAGTTTATTAGACTGGTGAGTACTGGGGGAAACTGGATGTATCCCTCCTGAGCTCTCACTGTTTTTAGATTGTGGGTCCTGGTTTTCTGGTTTGCTTTAATACCACTTTGCACATGGTTGTGGTCGAGCCGTTTACATGATGCTGGCTGGAAATCAACAGGTCTGTATTTAATGTGATGACTGGAGTCAGTCGGGTAATGGTTACCGTTGCTGTTTCATTACTTATTTCCTACTCAGTTAAGTAGATTTTGTACATACTTCATCCCCACTTTGATGGAGCTTGATTGATGGCAGCCTTGATGTTCTCCTCTTGTGTCTTCTATGACCTTTGACCCATTTGGCTCCTCTTCCCCCTAGGAATTGTCAAAGTTCATTGTCTCTAATGTCGCAAGTAATGAGGGGGCAAGTGTGATTGTTGTAGGACGATGGCCGCACCACAATCTGGGGATGATTTCCTGGATAGACTTGACTGAATGCAGATGGACGGACCTTGATTTCTTACCTGTCATGTAAAGGGTTCCTGAACTTTATGATTGAAGTTTCTTAGTACATATCCAATGCACTCCTAACTGTAGAAACTTGCAGCTGTTGGGTGAATGCCAATCACGGTTCTGCATAGATGTGTTGGCAGGAGGGTTTAAATAGCACAGAGACCAGACTTGTCACAAGATATGCTGTCAAACTGGTGCACTGGCAGCCTCTGATTTTTTCCTCACTAGGTTGAAGGAAAAAACCCAACATCAGTTTGAGTTTGTTTTTTTTTTTGGAAGATCAGAGGAGGCTTCAGCTACTTGCTTTGATTCTGCGTCAGGTTTTTGAGTCAAGCTTACGGTGATCTCCAGCGCTTGAAACATTCCTCTAGGGGTGTCTCATTTGTGACTCATGGCTAACATGGGCGTTCATCTCATATATATTATGTCATTTTGTTTTACATGTTCTACATATTTACCCGACATATAAAACCTCATAAGAACCCCAAAGGTTCTGAGGCATGTTGGTCTTGGCCTAGGAGATCTAAGAGCATGCTGGGAAAAATTCACACAATGACACAGTTCCTTAGACTAGGGATTCCCAACTTTTTGTTTACATTGTACTAAGATTGCGCAGACTAGTGGGAAGGTTCCCCATGATAAAATTCAACAAAATGTGCACGAAACTAATCCATCCATCCAAGTGAGCATTTTCGGAAACCACTTGTACTGTTCAGGGTCTCGGAGGGTCCAGAGTCTATCCCAGAAACTATGGGACGAAACTGATCATCAGGGCATTATTTTTCAGTGCGAGATTATCCTGCTATAAGGCAGGAACGCCTACCTTAGACAATGATCAAAGCACTTATAATTTATGACATTAGGAATATTGTTTAATAAGTGCTTTCCACTGTGTCCTTTCTACACCCATCCCTAGTATAAACCATAAGCTTATTATGCTGCCCAGTGGCAATCAATAGGCTTGACAGAGGTGCATTGTACACAAGCTCACTAACGGTGTTGCCCATGTACAAGGGCCTACATTGAAAGGCAGATTTCAGAGGATTTAAAGTAGCCCGTAGTGTTGATGATTTCAAGGCTGCTGAGTAAATAAGCATCGGCTTTAAGATTTCATTTTAAACGGAACATGTCTAGCTGTTTTTATTTTCCATTCACAATGCGTGTACTTCATACAAGTCTCATTGCCCATTGAATGGGTTGCTGAATATGGTTTATGGCTCACGCCAGACCACCTGTGTTCTTACTAGGAATCATCCTCATAAAATTGCAGGGTAGCAAACGTTTTCATTGCCATGCAAAGCTGAGTGCAGCGGCTTCCTTCACACAGCCATAGTCCTTAGTGTTTGCATATACAGCAGTGTGGTGAAGGAACCTTCTGGGTGACTTGTCCTCCTCTCATCTGCAACCTTATTGACAGGAACACTGTGATCATCACCCACTTCGTTCCATCAAGGTCGTGGCGTTCCTCTGCATTACGTCATGCCCAGTTCCTGTTCTGATGCGTTGGAACTCAAAATTTTGTCTATTTTTGGCTTGAGCCAATGTGCTGGAATAAGTTTCCCCTGAGCCTCAGAACTGCAGGATGCAGGGCTCAGATCTCATCTCGTCAAACGGCGCTTGAGCCCCGAGATGTCCTGACAGCATTTCCGAATCTGCCCTCTATGCCCCTTTTTGTCAGGTTGTTTGTCTATACGTCTGTGTATATTTAGCCTGTTTTCAGACAGGGGCAGTATGACTGATGCTGTTATGTACTGCTGTATAACCTCATATAGTCAGCGGAACCTCTGGTGTTGGTCTTCTCTGTTGCTTACAGCACTTTTTTTTATCAACCTGTAATTCAGGTTTCAGAACATATGAAAAAATTGTGTGTATTGCACAATATTATAACAATTATTATGCCGCATATGACCTCAACTGTTTACTTATGTTTTATACTGTAAATGTTGTTTCTACTCTTTAAAAAATGAGAAAAAACCTAACTCTAAACGTCCATGCAAGAAGACGTTACCATGTGTTCCGTAGGAACAACTGCCCCCTGAAGGCAGAAAAGGGAATAGCCATGGCGGCATTAATTTAAACTGTACTGTGATCCAAACAAAGGGGTTGTATAAGTATGTGATGTGTCTCGCTGGAGGAGTTTGGAGAATGGTACTTATAGACGTTCTACACATCCAGCAGACTTACTGTAGACAGCGAATTTGCCTGCATGAGACAGACAGACTTTTTTCAGTCATGCATGACAGGAATTGTACTGTAAACAAAAAGGAAATATGCAACTTAGCCATGCATTTGCAGAACACACCCATTTTCAGGGGTAAGTTTAGCTGTATTCAGCATAAGGTTTACACAGATCGGCTTTGTCTGACATCTGTCTAACTTGCTCTCCAGCTATGTTTCAGTTTCACTTCCTGTATTACGAATAACTCGGCCGTGTTTTCGGTCAGCAGACTCTGGACAGTGGCTTCTGATGAGCTTCATCAAGTGTCTTTCGAGGCAGATACTGGGCAAGATGTGCAGGAGCGAAATCTTAGACACAGAACTTTACACGTTCACTAGCCGTTTCCGTTAACTGAAATATATCACTCCACACAGGACAACTACTCAGATGCTGTGAGATCTGTTGGTTTAATTAGGCAGTCAAGCTCTTCTTATGCTGGCAGAGAAGTGGTGTGTGGAGTGTGAGGTCCTGGTTTTAATGAGGTGATGAAGTCACACACGGGCTCTGTCACTTTGTTTGGCTTCTGGATTTCATTTCTCCTCATTGCCTCGTCTTTATTAAGCTGCTACTTGGGTAAGGGATTCCCCCTTCTGACATTTCAGGAGTAAACTAGTTACTAAATGAAACCGTAAGTAGGGGACCTAGAGGCCCCTAAAGACAAAATTAAATGCTCCTGAATCATGGACCAGTACTGTTGATACTCATTGGTGATATACTTTGAGTGCTTTTTAGAATGACAATCTGTAGGATGATTCACCCTGAATAAGCCTGCGATGTATGGAAAATTCCTGACTTTTTGTGACCTTGAATATAATTTGCAGTAGATAAATATAGATATTTTGGATGATATTTGTGGGCTTTGAATTTTTAGAATTTACAGTACAATGAAGTATTTTTAAACTACCAGTTTTGTACTAAAGTGCATGGCAGTTTGTTAAGAAGATTACTTAAATGACTCATTTTGCTTGTTTTTGTTTACTTACTGACACGACTTAATATTCACTTTGTGTGGGCGGATAAGGGAGACGAGCTGACATGCAGCGGCCGACCTCGGCCGGGGATCCTGGTGCCAACACCCAGCCATATTCTGAAGTTGTTTGTAACAGAAAGTGAGCAGTTTACGGTTTAATCAGTGTAACCTCATACCGTTGGGGCCGATGCGAGCATGTGAACACTAACCAGCAAGGCCCTGAAACATCGGCAGCCTTGCCAGCCAGGCGGTCTCCCGGAGACCCTCAGCTATCTGACGCTTCACTCTTACCTCCTAGGGGCTGAGGAACAAACCGAAGAAGACTGGTCATGTGAAGCCGGACCTCATTGACGTGGACCTGGTTAGGGGTAAGGAGAGCGTGTGCCAGAAGATGCTCTGGGTGGTCATTGACCTGCAGGATTTGCATATACTCTCTTCAAGCAGTGGGAAATTAAGGGTTTCGGCTACACACCAGTGAGCCAAACTATTAGGACCACCCCCACGCAAAGTGAATTATGTTGACTATCTAGTAAAAACCGTGCCTGTCTGGGATATACTACGCAGTAAGCTAACATTTGGTACTCGTAGTCGACATGTTCAATGCAGAAGAAATGGACAGAGATAAAGATCTGAGTGACAAAACCGCTATGGTCAGACAACAAGGCTTGTGGGTGCCCACGGTCAGCTGTGGTGACTGCCTAATTAGTGTGGTCCAAGGAGGGAAAGACCATGAACTGCTGACAGGGTGTTTGAGCAGCCGAGATTCACTGATGCAAGATGTGCAGGATGGCTATCCCGTGTGGTACAGACCAACAGATGGGCTACTGTAGCAGAAATGGCAGATAATTTTGATGATCACAGGAGAAATGTGTCACATCACAGTGCACTGAGCTCTACTGCACATGGGGCTACCAAATGTTAGCGTACCTTCCAATATATCCCAGACCCTGACGTGCACCGTTTTTATATAGATATTCAGCATTATTCTCATCACTCATCATATGTCTAGTTCATCATTTCTAATTTCTGCAGGTTTTGTGCTCCGCTGTTTCTCATACCTTTGGGTTGAGACTGAGCCACTTTGATCACCATGTTATTATGCTCTTCTGTGCCATATTCATTTCCCAGCAGCCTGAGAATGCTGCAGTACTTTTATGGGGTAGGAGCACGCAGACGAAGGAACACACAACCTGGAAGATGTCAAACTGCAGTCAGTTGTTTCCCCGGTTCCCTGCAGGTTCTGCTTTTGCCAAGGCCAAACCTGAGAGCCCATGGACCTCGTTGACCCGGAAGGGCATCGTCAGGGTGGTGTTCTTTCCCTTCTTCTTCAGGTGGTGGATCCAGGTCACCTCCAGGGCCATCTTTTTGCTGTTGCTGCTGCTGTACCTCCTCCAAGGTGAGCGTTGCGCTGCAGTCCTGCAGGACATGCAGAAGTCAGCGTGCCATTCTCGCAGCTCATACGATACCAAATGCATTTTGTTTTCTGCATTTGAAGCACCACCCATAGTTGTGTGTGACTACACGCTTAAAATATCCAGCAGCACACCCTAGCCTGGATGACTCCAGTCCCCCGTAGTCGCAGGGTCATTTTCAGGTCCTCTTCAGCTGATGGTGAGGAAGTCCGTCAGACGCACGAAGGAGCGTCATGGTCTCAAACGCCCAAGGACTGTGTTACTGACCTGACCCCTTTAATAGAAACGTGTCCTCCAGCATGCTGTTATGATGAAGACAGAGTTTGACAGTGATGTAAAATAGTCCATACTCTTGAACATATGGATCTTTTTTTTCTTCATCGTGTAAGAAATAATTTGAGGGTGGGGTGAGGGTCAGATTAGCAGAGCTAGAGCCAGGGTGGGGGCTCTCTGAAGATGCACCGTGTGTTTCCTGTGTCGAGTGATGACTGAGAGCTCCTGTATCTCACGGTCTTCCTGTCAGGGTTCTCACTCATCCTGGAAAACCTGGAAAATAGTCAACAAATGTTCTCTTAATAGAAAACACATGGAAATTGAGAGAAAAAGCAAAAATCTCCTGGAAAACCTTGTACTGTCCTGGAAAAAATATTTCAGCAAACGAATAATACTGCCATACGAAGTTTTGAATATGTAAAGATTTCCATGTTTTCCATCACTGGAAAATTAGTTGGCTGTTCTCCAGGAGGCTGTGTTTCACAGCCTCCTGTCTGTCCTTTGTCTCATGGCCTCCTGTCTGTCCTCCTCCTTCCTGTGTCTCACGGCCTCCTGTCTGTCCTCCTCCTTCCTGTGTCTCACGGCCTCCTGTCTGTCCTCCTCCTTCCTGTGTCTCACGGCCTCCTGTCTGTCCTCCTCCTTCCTGTGTCTCACGGCCTCCTGTCTGTCCTCCTCCCTCCTGTGTTTTAGTGGCGGCGGCAGCGCTCTTCCTCAGCCTCCCCCCGACGCACGGTGTTCCTGCCACCGAGGTCTTTGGTGCCGTCTGGCTTATGCTGCTTCTGGGGACAGTTCACTGCCAGATCGTTTCTACCCGTACCCACAAGTCCCCACCCAGCGCGGGGGCCAAAAGGAGAAGGTGGGGGAGGTCCGGTCCGCCTCGTCACTCTGTTTAAATTTGCTCCTGTGTCCCATGTCTTTTTAATTGCTTCAGCTAAACTGTTGATCATTGAGCTGCTGTTGTCTTGTTTGGTCAGTCTTTGGAGGCACGTTACCCAGAAAACGTTGCATGACACTTGCAACACTTGAAGCTGCAGAATATCAGTCTCAGATCTTATCAGCAAACCATTCTTGTTTCCTCATATCAGCCAAAAATAGCTTTAATCAGGATTTTAATCAGTATGTCACCAGTGCCATTTTCTGTAATGGGAGCACAAGTTCAGCCCTGTGGTGGGTAGATGTGTTTGCATAGGATGATAGGCCCCCGAGTCGTCCTCGTGCTCAGTAAAGCCCCGAGTCTGCCTACTACTCAGAAGGGCCCTGAGTCATCATCAAGCTCAGTGCACCCCCATATTCATCCTCTTGCTCCGTAGACCCCCCATGTTGTCCTCATGCTCAGAAAGGCCCCCAAGTCATTTTTATGCTCAGTAGGGCCCCGGGGTCATCCTCATGCTCAGTAGGGCCCCGGAGTCATCCTCATGCTCAGTAGTGGGAGTCATCTTCATGCCCAGTAGGGCCCCGGGGTCATCCTCATGCTCAGTAGGGCCCCGGAGTCATCCTCATGCTCAGTGGGGCCCCGGAGTCATCTTCATGCCCAGTAGGGCCCCGGAGTCATCCTCATGCTCAGTAGGGCTCTCAATCATCTTCCTGCCCAGTAGGACCCCGGGGTCATCCTCATGCTCAGTGGGGCCCCGGAGTCATCTTCATGCTCAGTAGGGCCCCGGAGTCATCCTCATGCTCAGTAGGGCTCTCAATCGTCTTCCTGCCCAGTAGGGCCCCCAAGTCTTCCTCATGTCCAGTAGGGCCCCGGAGTCGTCCTCATGCTCAGTAAGGTCCCCCAGTCATCTTCATGCCCAGTAGAGCCCCCAGTCGTCCTCATGCTCAGCAGGGGCTCAAAGTCTTCATGTTTATTAGGACCCCCAAAGTCATCCTCATGTTCAGTCAGGCCCCCCAGTCATCTTCATGCCCAGTAGGGCCCCCAGTCGTCCTCATGCCCAGTAGGGCCTCAAAATTGTCCTCATGCCCAGTAGGGCCCCTGAGTCATCCTCCTGGCGAGTACGGCCTCGAGTCCTGCTATTTATTTATACTGTTATTGTTGTGCTAATTTCTGGTCATTTGCTGTCAAACCAGCCTTTCCTTTCCTGGGGGGTGTTACACGAAGCAGGATTTCTTGCTTAGCTGGATAGCTTTTTGGTTTTTAGGTAGTCTGGGTTAAACGTATGTGAATGAACATGAAGTTCAATTAGCCCAGACTACCTTAAATCCAACAAGTTATCCGGCTAAGCAAGAAATCCTGCTTTGTGAAACCCTGGGTTCTTTTACTTTTCCAATCAAAATAATACAACAAGGCAATGGCTCTTTCTCTCTCGCCCTCCCTCTCTTTCTCAATCCCTCTAAGCCACCTGCCTTTTTTTTCAATTTCTCTCGATAAAGGAAGTTAAGGAAAGCCGCGCAGTTGGAGGTGAATAGGGAAGGAGACGGCTCTAGCACTACCGATAACAGTCAGGAGGGGGCGCCACACTGCACTGAGCCTGTGTCCACTCAATACATCGGCACATTCTTCAGAGAGTTCTGGCATGATATCTTTAAAACAGGGTGTGTATGTTTCCTTGAAAGTCCAACTTTCTGCTCAAGCTGGAATATCCCTGAAATCTCAATAATAACATTATTAGGAGTTCAGCAGCTGTGATAGTATGTTAATGAAATTGTATTTTGATTTGACTTTGAGCATTTGATTACTATTGAGACTGATACCTTCTGGGATAAAGGAATGGGATATTGCAGCTTTGTTTTATTTCACAAACCAAGTTCACAGGGTTGGAGCCACACTGACGAATGAATGACTTTACTTCATTTCTTCCTACCTATGCAATGTCAGTTAGGTAGATAATTGTGTACACAAACATTGTGTTTAAGAAATAGTAGTGAGATATTTATATTTGTAATAATGTGAAATATTCACTGCATAATCAGCAAGCTATTTCACTGGAACTATTCAGAGTATTCACGCTGCTCATCAGGTACATCAGCCTGGGCTCCTTCAAGGATTCGAATTGCTAGATAATCTGATGTTGAGCCCTAACTTTGCCTTGTAGTACAACTCCAATTTTCTCGCTAACTGCTAGTTATTTGTATAGTGAAAAGGTCACACTCAAACCCAGTCTCACCCCCAACTTCACGTTTTAGTGTAAGTGTTCATTTTGGGGGCAGTAGAAAAGAAGGATGAGGACTCTCGTGTGATCCTCGTTTCCTCGTGTTCATAACCACAGCGAGATGGTCTGTAGCACACAAACACAAGGGATGTTTTTCTTTCGCTCTGGGGTCAATAGTTTTCTGCTCTTGTAGATCTGGCTTTCTACCTGTGTGGAAACACATTCACCTTTGCTTTCTTTCCCTCTATATGATATGAGATCTTAGCACAGCACAGTATCAGACTTCCCCCCTGTAGACAGCGTTTGTTCTCTGGCCAGGTCAGGGACACGGACCCTGACGGTGCTGTAATGCCATACCTCCTCCTCTGAGGGCCAGGAAGGCAAGGGGATACTTCCATAGTGCTGTCCAAGGAGCTAGAATATATGGGCTCAGTGGCAGGTTGACTTCAGGTTGCCATCAATGTAATTTCAGCCCTGAGACCACATTCATGTGATTCTTTTTTCCCGCATTACTGGTAGAGTTTTCTTCTGAAACCGAGCAGAGGTCAAAGGGCGTGGCTAGGGTGCCATCAGCGTGAGTTTGGCTCACCATAGCAGTAGCGTCGTCCTCCATCTTCGATGTGTGGCACCATGGCAGCCCCAAGCAGGCTACCCCCGCCTGGCCGACTGCCTGGCTTCTCACCCATCAGCTCTGCATGCTATGGATCTCCATACCATTCTTAACATTCTACCCCACACAACTTCACAAAGATTCACGTGCCAGTCATACTATGTGATCCATCTTTGGATCTTTGCCTGCAAGCCTGCCAATCATCCTGAGTCACTGATGCGTCTCCAGAAGTACAGTGGTACCTCAGAACTCGAACTTAATCCGTTCAGAACTCCGGATCGAATACTAAAAAGTTCGAGATCTGATCGAATTTTCCCCATAAGAAATAATGGAAAACCAGTTAATTGGTTCCCAGCCCCAAAAAAATACACCTAAATATGTTTTTTTTAGCATTTAAACACAAAATGAACCGGATAAAACAAGAAGAGCATATACTATACTAAACACATCTAAGCACATTTATCAAAGTAATTTGTAAAGTAAGAAAATAATGTGTAAAGTTAAAAAAAACATCCTGCCCCTATCGTCCGCTCCTTCCGTGTGCCACGCCCCTTGTTAACCCCATGTGGAATCCCCGTGTGATCAGCTGTTTCTGGTTGTTGTCATTAGTCCTCTGTATTTCGTCCGCGTTTCAGTTTGTTTCCCCAGTCCAGTCATTGTATTGTCCGTCTGCGTTTTGCCTGCCTTACCTGTAATTAAACCTTGTATTCCCCGATACCCTGACGTCTGCGCCTTTGTCTCTGTTTCGTCCTGTCCCCGCTCGGCATGACAGTATTATTATACATTAATTAAATGTATTAAAGGTTTATTATTAATATTAAAATAATGAATAAGAAATCTTTATTTTTAAATGTATTTTATTATACAATAATATTCACTGTTACTGTCTATCATTGTCTAAATGTATTTTTACTGTCTAAATATATATATTCAGGTAGTGTAAACATGCACGATGCTATCACAGCGAATGCGAGACTGAGACTGAAGCGTTACCCTTTGTTTCCGCTGACAAACGTGCCGCGTGGCTCATTTCCCCATGCGTACAAGTTATCTTAGGTCGGCATTCACGGTTTGACTTCTGAGATTCAGATCGAGCTCTAGGTAATTTTTTTTATAACTGGTTGGTTCGACTTTTAAGAAATTCGAGTTCTAATGAGTTCGAGAACTGAGGTACCACTGTACCTCCATGTCATCAATTTTCGGAATTCGCCCTCTAGTGGTTCGGACGCATACGTCCGAGTTTTCAATAACAAAGAAAAATGACGTTCAATAAAAGAAACAAATGTATAAAATCAACCACAACCGGCTTGTAACAGTACAAGAAACCTTTATTATAATATATGTACAAAGTTGCACAATTTTTGTGCCATGGTTATTTTCTAACAAGTTAAAACAAAATGACCATGGCAACCATCTTTAAACGGGTCAAGTGTCAGGAAGTAAAATATAAGTGTTAATAAAATGAAAACTAAGCATTTCAAACTATTTCCTTCACGACCAACAATTCATAAACCGTCACAGTATTAAGACAAAACACCCATTTTTCCATAAATATGACTCTCATGNCTCATGCTCTCAAATAGCTTGCTCACTCTTCGCAGAAAAATGTCAATCAGCATTGTTTACATTCGCGCTATGTTTTTCATCTTCGGAATTTTATAAGAAAACCATTGAATAAAATGACAAAGTTACTCTCGTTTGAAAGCTTGATCTCTTATGTACATAATTCAGTCACTGTCATTTTTCATTGTCAAGTATTTTTTTAGATACATGCTCTGATTCCCTGCTAGCATACCATTTTTTACACACTGAACCTTTGCCCATGGTTATGTTTCACCATAATAAACTTTTTGTATGAACATCAACTTACAGTGTCATTTGCTTCATCCAATAGAGGTGCGTCTAAGGTTTGCAAAATGGTATGGGATGTGCTGATTGGGCATTGTTTTTCGCGCTGGGGACATAAATGCGCAAATTATTCTCTGCTGGTGCAGTTTTTGTGGGAGTGTCTTGAGTACGCAGAGTATGCAACCCTCCACATTTATTTACAGTTTACTCTTTTATTCTATAGATTTTTATAATTCCGTGATTCAGCAAATTATAATTAACATCTGCTTTGGTAACAATTGTATTGTGGTACATAGGGAAAAGTTCCGCATCGCCTTTGTCAAGCTTTGCGTGTGCAAAGTAATGCGCAGCGCTTTTGGCTTTTACTTGGACAAAGTTATGCGGGGCTTTGTTTGGGCAAAGTTATGCGGGGCACTTGTCGGCTTTGTTTGGGCAAAGTTATGTGGGGCACTTGTCGGCTTTGTTTAGGCAAAGTTATGTGGGGCACTTGTCGGCTTTGTTTAGGCAAAGTTATGCGGGGCACTTGTCGGCTTTGTTTAGGCAAAGTTATGTACGGTACTTGTCGGCTTTGTTTAGGCAAAGTTATGTACGGTACTTGTCGGCTTTGTTTAGGCAAAGTTATGTATACGGTACTTGTCGGGTTTTTTTGGGCAAAGTTATGTACGGTACTTGTCGGCTTTGTTTGGGCAAAGTTATGTACGGTACTTGTCGGGTTTTTTTGGGCAAAGTTATACGGGGCATTTGTCGGGCTTTGTTTGGGCAAAGTTATGCAGGGCACTTGTCGCGCTTTGTTTGGGCAAAGTTATGCGAAGTTAGGGTTAGGGTTAGAAACAAAATGTTTCTTATGACCAGTAAGTGGTAGTGAATTTAGAAAGAAAGACGCTATCCCAAAAAACACTGCTAGTTACACTATGGCCAGTTTGGATAGGTTTTGGATAGGTCTTGGATAGGTTTTGGATATATTTGGCACAAGTCCTGTGAATATAATATAGATTTTCCTCCAAATGTGTGGTGATGTTGTGTGACAAAATGTTTCTTATGACCCATAAGTGGTAATGCATTTAGATAGAGACGCTATCCCAAAAAACACTGCTTGTTACACTGTGGCCATTTTGGATTGGTTTCAGATAGGTTTTGGATATGAAAGGCTCCCAGTCGCACCATTTGTTCTTTCCTCTGTAAAACCTGTTCGGCTACATCAAATGACATGAAATTGGGCACACATGTAGAAAACAAGTTAGGGAACCACATTTTTCAAATTGGACCTAATCCATCATGTACTTCTTTAAAATATTTGCAAAAATCCAAGACACAAAGACAGGTTTTTGTATTTTTCCAGCTGTTTTTGTTATATTCGCATGTCCATAAATTATACACAGTTATTCATTTTGGTTATTGAGCTTCCAACAATTGATTGTAAAGGGATCAGCTTTGATTTTAGGTATCAGGCATGTGTCTGTGACTTTTACATCTGAAGTTATAAGGTAATTATTCCAAAGAGGGAAGGAATGCCCCCCCATGCAAGGGGCCCCCTGCAAAAGGGCCCCTGGTGCACCCCATAGAGTTAATATAAAAAAGAGAACTCACTTCCTGTTTTCCATGTCAGTTGGATGTCTGGCTAATTTCCACAATTCCTCCCTGCTTAGAATATTTCGCTCTCTCTCTCTGCCAATCCACCTCACCCCACTCCCACCCAGATTAAAGAAACCTAAGACATCCATCAACAAGTCAACAGAGACGGACAACGGCTACGTGTCTCTGGATGGCCGCGTGACCAGCAAGAGCAGCGAGGAGGGCCTGCAGCTCCGTGAAGGACCCGGTGACCTTCTGCCCCCCAGCGAGCCCCACTGGACTGCCCCCCTGCCCTGCAGCGGCCTGCTGCCCCCAAGCATGCCCAAGGTGGGCCCCCTAATGCCAAGTCTGAAATCAGTCACCTCTCATTTAGCATTTTACACTATGAACTTCCTACCGCGATATACATATATACTGCTTTCAGGTTGGTTTTGTTACTATTCAGTTAAGCATTATTTGGAATTCATGCTGGGTAGACTATCAAAAACTGAACTGAAGCAGGTTTTTTATTTAGTGACTTTTTTATTACATGTACATGCAGGAAGCCCCAAGCCCCCACCGAGTGGAAAATTTAACTGACGAGGCGTCCACAGAAGAGGACCCCGAAGCCCCCTACAGCACCGTCAGGAGGGGCGGAGAGCGCACACAGAGTGACTGCGGCCTGCGCAACAGGAAGTCTCATCACTACAAGAAAAGCTACAGTGCAGAGGTACAGCTCTCATGACCTTCAGCAATGTACGACTCTTGGTCTTTCACAATGTTAATAGATGTACGGTTCTATGCTCACTCACAGTCTTAATACATGTACGGCTCTATGGTCTCTTCTGGTGTTAACAGATGTACGGCTCCATGGTCTTTCACAGTGTTAGATGCACGGCTCCATGGTCTTTCACAGTGTTAAAAGCTGTACGGCTCCATGGTCTTTCACAGTGTTAACAGATGTATGGCTCCATGGTCTTTCACAGTGTTAACAGATGTACGGCTCCATGGTCTTTCACAATGTTAACAGATGTACGGCTCCATGGTCTTTCACAGTGTTAACAGATGTATGGCTTCATTGTCTCTCAGAGTGGCCTGATGATACTTATATAAGGTGATATGGGCTTCCATAACATTCCTAGTGTCTGGTGTAACGCTGCCACTCCCTCCAGGAGCCGAGCCGCTCTGCCTCAGGTGGCAGCCTGCGCTCCAGCCTGCGCCGCGACTGCGAAAATGTGCGTCCCGAGTCGGAGACGGAGGACGTGCTCTGGGAGGACTTCCTGCACTGTGCCGAGTGCCACTCCTCCTACAGCAGCGAGACGGAGACCGAGGGCACGCCCACCTGTCCCAAGAAGGAGTACAGGGACGACCCCTTCCTGCAGGTGGGACCCCAGCACCGCCTGCCTGGGTAGATGTCGTATGACACGGTTATTTAATCCGTCCAGTCAGTGCCTGATCCTGCCAAGTGCAAGATGGATAATTGCCCAGGGCACCAATTTCTCATGATTTGTTTCTTTCTACACATTCCTGTTGCTTAAGAAGCCAGTCAGCTTGTTTCGTATAGTATTTGCTGGTCAATTAAACTCAGTTGCCTCACAACTCTGGGGTTGGGGGGTTTGAATCTCATTTCCATTATGTGTTTGTGGAGTTAGTATGTTCTCCTGTGGTGAGGGTTTCCAACCTCCAGGCCGCAGAAGGCTGGGGGTGGAGGTAGCCCCTATTTCGTGTATTAGAAGATTGCCCTGAACTGAAAAATGAAATGCAGTGTCCGGTATTGATCCACGAAAATATATGATTTGTCCCCTATTTCCCTGCTTGGCAAATATTGTCGCAAGATAATATTTAATTCACAAAATCTTGTTTCATGAAACAGGCCCCTACTCCTCAGACTTATTTTGTTTGTGTGGGCAGGGCCACGCTCCATGGCTACACAGCTCCAACCCGGGCCTGGAGCGCGTGAGCGCCATCGTGTGGGAGGGCAATGAATGCAAGAAGGCTGACATGTCCGTGCTGGAGATAAGCGGAATCATCATGAACAGGGTGAGTACCATCATCACTCATGGGGATGTGACCAGTGTTTCCAGCAGTGTTGCTGATTTACACACACAACTAGATCTGGAATGAAAGACCTGTCCTTACTTCTGTCTCCCTTCTACAGGTAAACCTGTACACACCTGGAATTGGATACCAGGTTTTTGGGAACCTGGTGTCAGCCGTATTGGCGCTGACACCCCTGGTTTACAGACTGTCCCAGCACAAGGAACTGGAGCACCTGACCACTCTCTCTGCCACTCAGCTCCTTTGTATCACAATGGGCTCTGATGTCATGGTCATCGCCATGGTGACCGTGAGCTTGGTGGTGCGGGCCTTCCTCATATGGCTCTTCTTCTTTCTACTGAGCGTAGCAGAGAGGACCTACAAGCAGGTAAACAAAGGATTTTGGGGCGGGATGTGCGGGGTTCTGTCAGCTTCGCTGCTTTCCTCCCATAATCCAAAAACATTCAGTTGAGTAAATTGGTGTTTTTAAAAGGGGAAAATGTAACCTGTTAAGTTGAAGTATGTGTTCCTATCTGCTCTTGGCCATCCCACTCTACATGGAATGAATTTGCATACTTATGGATCTGTCAGAGGCTGCTCTTCGCGAAGCTCTTCGGACACCTGACGTCCGCTAGGAGGGCCAGAAAGTCGGAGGTCCCTCACTTCCGACTGAAGAAAGTGCAGAACATCAAGATGTGGCTCTCTCTGCGCTCCTACCTGAAGGTAAGGCCAGGTCTGTGGATGGTGCTCCCCCCCCCAAGCAGTCCGTCCGCTATCCATGACAGTAAGTTTACAGGATAGTGGGAACTGCACGTGTTACACAGTAATGTGTGATCCCTCTCCACAGAGAAGAGGTCCCCAGCGTTCAGTTGATGTCATTGTCTCCTCTGCCTTCCTCCTCACCCTGTCCGTGGTCTTCATCTGCTGTGCACAGGTGAGGAGCATTCTGGGAAAGACCCAACTGTCCCGACCCCGACCTTAACGTTTCACTCATAAGAGGCTCTCCTGTAGTGCCCTTAAGGAATACATTAACCTACATAGCTTTACTAAATATCTAACTGTACACATAGGTGATATGTATAGTACATGTCTCTGTGGATAACTAAGCAAATAGGTACTGTAAGGGTTCATTAGAAGTCATTTGCTTAGTTTCTCTCACTGCCACATGGTGCAGTTGTGCAGCCTCTGTAGCTTCTTCCCACTGTAGCCAGTTGACCTTGACGGTTGCCATAGTTACATGCAACCTTCCCACTTAGTGTTGTCATAGTGCCTGTACATTCTGCCGACCTGCCAGCAGAAGCTCCTGCTTTACTGATGATGGTGTCGAAGGACACGCCTCAAGTCACTTGCTGTAAGCCAGCCTGGCCAGCTGTTGACCCCCATCTCCCCCCCCCCGCAGCTGCTCCACGTTCACGAGACCTTCCTAGACTGTCACTACAACTGGGAGCTGGTCATCTGGTGCACCTCTCTGTCCCTCTTCCTGCTGCGCTTCGTCACACTGGGGTCTGAGACCAGCAAGAAGTACAGCAACACTGCCATTCTGCTGACCGAGCAGGTGCCGTGACTCCTTCTCCTGGTAACGCAGTGCAGTAAGATCTCCCCAGGGGCATTTCATAGACACAATGTGACCAGATGGGTGTCGGGTCAAATTCCTGTTGCACCTGTGACACAAGACCCATAGTCTGACTATTAAAAGTGATCTTTTAACTTTACAAATTCTGCATTTGTCCATAAGCACAGATATATACAGTACTGTGCAAAAGTCTAAGACAGTCAAAAGAAATGTTATACCTATTTATCTGGGTAGTACCCCCACATTTACTATCATTTATTTATTAACAAAAACACAATATAATATTAAAACATACACAAATTAGGAGTGGCACAATAAAAACTATTAAAAATGTCTTCTGTTCTCCAAAAAGTCTCTGATATCTTGCTGGATGGCTAGATGAACACCGCTTCAGGTCCCAAACCTCTCCTCAGGGGCACCTCAGCCACTCCACGTATTCATTAAATTTCACCACCAGCTCTGTTAATTAATTAACTTAAATAGTGATTAGATATTGATTAGCTATATGAGGTGTGCTAGTGGTCGAGTCAAAAAAATTCACGGGTATATTGGATGGCTGCTGGAAATTCTGGGGTGATTTTAATTGTGGTTTCGGAATGGATAAACTAACACACTCTGACAGTGCACAATAGCATAGTTTTACACCAACATAAAGATCATTTAAACATTTTCTTTTGCTGCCTAAGACTTTTGCACAGGACTGTGCATACACAGTGCTGGTTGAGAAAACCTCTCGTGTCTGACAGGTAGTGCTAGCTGTAAATGAGATGTACGTTTCACAACATCGCGGATCACTGTCACTGAAAAAGTCACTGCAGTACCCTGAGCACTGGTCCCATCCTCACCACAAAGGACTGGTCTGATGCGAGTTGTCGCTATTTATCTGCTTCAGATTAACCTGTACCTGAAAATGGAGAAGAAACCAAATAAGAAGGAGGAGCTGACCCTGGTGAACAATGTGCTGAAGCTTGCTACTAAGCTGCTGAAGGTGGGTCTCTGAGTGCTTCTCTGTGACCTTACTGACAAGTAGATGATGTATCTTTTGACCTTTCCTTTCCATGTGCTTGCAGGGCACCCTTGTTGAACTTTATACTTTCATCCGATTTCAGATGGATTCTTGGACAGATAAAATGGAAGATTTGTAGTAGCTATGTGGTACCAGTAGTTCTGCTGGAAAGTAATTCAGGGCAGTTTGTGACAGTTCATAAGCCTGTGGGAATTACCCCCTGTTGTGTGGGGTTATGGCTGTCGCCCACTGCTACTTACCCGTTTGTCCATGACTCCTGCGTGGCTTCTTCTTGTGCTCCCGTCAGGAACTGGACGCCCCCTTCAGGCTGTACGGCCTAACCATGAACCCCCTCCTCTACAACATCACTCAGGTGGTCATCCTGTCTGCTGTGTCCGGGGTCATCAGCGACCTGCTCGGCTTCAATCTCAAGGTCGGTCTGTCGGCTCTGTATCCGAAAGCTGCTACGATAGACGTCTGGGGCTGAAAGCACTTGTACTTCTTATAAAACTACAAAAAGCACCATGCTGACGATGGCTAAATGTACTTTATAAGGAAATTTTACCATTTACAATTGATTTTTTTTTCCCCCCAGTAAAAGAGTTCATGCACACATCAAAGTCACAAACTATGCTTTTCGCTCCACAGCTTTGGAAGATCAAATCATGACAAGACATGCGAACACAGCACAGACGTCCGTAATGGGATTCCATTTGCTGTGACTAGGAGGCGCTCTTGAGACCGACTAGGGGGAATGGAACCCCGACAGTGAACTACGACTCCGACATATCAAAGACATCATGGTTATGTTTTACTCATACATAAATCGTGCAATTCTAATATCTATTCTACCTTTTCAGTGTTTTTGGCATCTGTCGTAATGACACATCTTAGTGGTAGCAGAGAGAGGTGGTTTTATAAACAAACGGATTTCAGCAGCTATTTTGCCGAGAGGGCAGACGGGTGCAAGATGTGGTCAGATAGGTCTGAAGCCCAAGGGGCTGGTGCTGCCCTGTCCCCCGACCACATGGGGGCGCTCTTCCCCTCAATTCCAATCATCCACTGCCACCGTGGCATGGACACGCACACAGAGTGACCCGTCCTGTCACCATAACATCTGTTACATGCACTCAAGGTCTTTTAAGCCCTGACATTGACTCTGAGGAAAAGTACTTTGGATGGATAACCTTGTACTTCAAGCAATAACTATTAATTCCACCAAGACTGATGGTAGCTGGCTGGACCTTATGAATTTGTGTGTATTTATTAAGAACACGTGGCGGCCAATCCGGATGCCTAATAATGTGCACTTTAAGACATAAATGTTACTTCAACGTTATTCCAGTGTCAGAAGCGTAATGTTACTCTCAAATAAAAGCCATTTTATATATTTGCGTGCAACAGCCTGCGTTCAGACAGACCAAAGTGCCGTAAAGTGGTGGAAGTTGCTTTCACACGGCCTGGTTTGTCCTGGAGACACTGAAAGGATGTTGCCTGTTACTTTTTATTTGTATGGATACTCTTTCTTTGTAGATGCAAGCGACGTTTTGCAGCACTAAATAAATGGTGTTTGAGATGGTAATATAGATATTATGCTATGCATAGTACATTTTTAAAGAGAGTTGCATATTTAAGTTATGATGTTTTGTGAGCAGGTGTATTTATATCAGTTGCAGATTTTTATATGAAATATGGACACTCATATCAGTCGGCCCAGCTAATGCACCGTGACTGTACTGCAGGCTCTACTATGTGAATCTGAACTGCTTTAGTTCCCATGAATTTGTGCACCATATGACACTGTAATTAACCACAGCCTTCATTAAAAACTCACTGTGGATAATGCGTTTGTCATGTCTGTTGGAGGTACTATAGCCTCTGTTCTCCCGTTTTCTGAACTTCTTTCCATGTTTGGCCTCCATGAGCTGTTAGATCTTTGCTTGATGTTGCCAGGTTTTTGGTAACAAGCAATAATGTTTAATCTGTGCATCAGTCTTTGATAAAACTGCACATCCTAACCGTAAAAAAAAAGAGGTATTTATTTGGTGCTAGCGTTTCCATTAATGCTTCAAAGAGCACAAAAACCATGCATTCCCAGGCAGCATTTTACTGGCCTTAAAGTGATGTAAATAACGAAAAGACGAAACATCGCCACCTACATACTAATGCATGCCTTCACAGAATATTTAAAATCGCCTTGTCACTGTCTGGCCAGAAGATGGCGCCGAAGTCGTGTGTTATGCAACTAGATCACATACATTTAGCATTAATACACGTTTGCGTATTCATGTATACAAAGTCAAACTGACACAGTGTGCAAATGAACACATTTTAGATAACTTTGAGCATATGGTGCCTTACTGAGGAGCATCTGTTAAATCTAAAACTTTAAATTGAAGGGCTTACAGCTGCCGCAGACACAAATCTTAAGCATTATGTACATGACACTCAGCCACGCTGCAAACGGACACAGGCACCCCCCCTCATACTCACACGGACCCAAAATCTAATAATGGGTCAGAATAAGCAAAATAAATACAAAGAGGCCCAGTTGAAATCAAATGTTTCTATTTGTCAATTAGAATGTTCACTCATAATTTAAGTATAAAATTACATATAAATAATAACTTCCGGATATACATCGGTTAACACATCACGCCCAATCTGAAATGAAAACAAAATAAGCCATGTTCAAATCAAATCAGTTACAAATTTCTGTACCTCTTTAGAAATTGTTAGCATTTTGTGTAAAATTCATGCATTTTTGCTCCCTTTTATAAAACAGGTCTGTATAAAAATTACATCTTGAGAACACACCACTATCTTTCTGTACAGAAGAACCATTTAAACATCCTCAAGTGCCTAGTTTATCGATTTCATTATTTTATTGTATTGTTATTACCATACTTATACACGTCTGATATTTTGTATATACATAATTTTTGCAGAAGGTTCTGAAATATCGGAAAAATTCTTGCTTATTTATTACCATTGAAATGTTTTCCCCGGAAACAGATATACTGTTTTTCCATTTCGTAAAACAATTTGTGGGCAAGTTCTGTGAGCATCAGTAATATTATCAGCCAAATTACCCATGGATGGTCTGCAACACCACACAGCTGTGATATGTTCATAAAATGAATTATGAAATGAGTTTTTTTCCTTTTAAACATTGCATAAGCCAAGCGAGCCTCATGACTAAGATGCGAACAAACAAAGCTTGCCAATTTGAAAAGCTGTTGTTAATTTGGTGATGCTGTACTGTGGAGATGCAAGGAAAAACTACAAAATCTGCCATCATCGTTCTCAGTTGGCACCTCCAGTCCTGCTGGAAACCCACTTTATGAGAGGAAATGACCAGGAAGGTGGGAAACGCACTGGAAACCAGCCGGACTGCTCGACCCACCATCAGCTAAACGCTACAGCCGGGAGTCTTTCCGACGAGCCAAATTACCAACAAGTGTCTCAAGCACAAAGGACAACAAATGCACGTAGCAAAACGGTACAGCGACCTTTACATTTAAAACTCTCAGTCAAAATGCATTTTAATAACATTTGGTTCAAAACGATACAAAGCAGCCTTCCATGGTTAGATGTAAGAGCTCACCATCTTCATACTTAAGCCATAAACTGCAAGTTTCCCTATTTCTTTAACAATTAATGAGTTAATTTCACTAATACATTAACTTCTGTTTGAATTATGTATCACAGAAGCAGGATCCAAATAAAGTCTTACCTTTGGGTTGTTAAAAGCGGCCACTCAGCTCAGCGCCACATGGTTCTTGCTATTGGTGATGTTATTTTGGCTGGGTGCCAAACCTGAAACGTTAAGATTTCAGGTGGGGGGGGGGCATGCTGATTATTGGGGATGTTTCCTCCTTGTTTCGACTCCTTCTGAAAACGGTGACGTTGGCAGTGGGGAGGCAGCAGACAGAATCCGTGACCAGTGCAAAGCTCACCGGTATTTATTTATCCAGCCTTGCTGCACAATGGACTTGTGCCAGTTAATTTAGGTAAGCATGTGCCGCCCAATGTTTTGTAAAAATGTAATGTGTGAATAACACATCATTAAACTTGCAGTCAAGGTCACCTGGCCAATGAGCGAGCTTTCTCTGTCAGATCGCATGTATGTGGGTTTGAAACGGTGCCTACCTACGAATTTGGTTTTCACAACGGCCCTGCTGCTGCAGTATATTCTTGAAGGTGCCGTTTTGCCCATTGAGATGGTAGGTCTAAACTTAAGAGTCCAATCAGATCAGTTTCTTGTTTTCCCATAACTGCAAGGCGTTATGTTTTTCCCTCCCTTGCAAGACACACCGTAATTATCCTATAAGGCAGGACGCTTCCGATAAGATGCTACCAAGTGTGAAATAACAACCGCTATCTGCAGTGGATGATCTATGCCATGCAAGATAAACTCAGAGCGTGCTGCTCCTACTATAGATCAAAGCCTTTGGCCCCAATAACTGGACCCAGTTCATTTACAACAGTGAAAACGCAGGTGGGAAATACTTAAATATGAACAACCAGCTTAAAAATATTAATAGGACAAACCAAATGCTAAGAAATATGCAGCGTTAAAAAGCTTTAAAAAGAGCTATAGAAATAGAAAGGGAGATCGGAAAGTCAGGTCCCGCTAGACGACACTCTGCCTGCCGTTGTCCCTGTCGTACCCTGAGGAGTCTGAGCAGCAGTGACTGAAATCGATGAAGATGCCCTCAGCCTCTGAGTCTATGGAGTCCAGGATTTGATCTACGATGGTCTCTGGGCTGGAGGGCCCACTGTTGAGGGAATCATGGTCCTTGGCCAACTCAGAGGGGGAGGGAAATGGGGACTCGCTGGCGACGGCCCCCAGCTCCAGGTCTTGCTCTGGTGATGGTTCGTCGGTGTCGGTTGGGCACAGCTTGGTCCCGGCATCCAGGACGGCAGCCAGGTCAGCATAGCCCACCTCCTCCAGGCAAGAGGTCATCTCACAGACTGAGTGACGGCGGACGCCTACGCTGCCCACTGAGCCGGCCTCGGCGTCATACTCCACCACCGGGGTGAGCAGGGGGATGTTGTAGCTCTTGGAGCGCACCACTGGGTTCTTGGTTGGCTCGCCGGGTCTGGGCCATAGGCGGAGCAACCGCTTCTCTGTAAAGATGAAGCATGGAGGGTGAGCAAAGGGTGATCCCAAAATTACCCCCCCCCCACCACCCCCACAAAAAAGACTCAACACCCTCACCCAGAACACAGGACGACTGTATGATGGACCCGTCATTGGAGAGCAGGCCGTGAGTGCCCAGGTATGGAGACACCACCTTCTGGATCAGTAACTCCAGCTTCAAGTAGTCATCACTTACACCTTTAGACTCATGGACCCCCTGTGAAAGACCACAGGAACCTTTAGAAAGAGACTGACGGGGGAGGGGGAGGGGACCAAGTTTAACCACCTGTTTTCACGGGATTGATGATGTTTGTTGAGCCTTCTGTGAACCTCGACACCTATAATCATTTACAAAAACACATTGCTTGTTTGAAAATGCAAAACTGCTAAGTTATTTCCATATATCCCAAAAGTCGAACAAGAACCCAAAATTAAGGACATAAATCGATTCACATGATTTTTTTCCACCCCCTCGTGTTTCAAAAATGCTGCTCTTATGGAGCGACAGGCACTAGACTGGAAAACTGTGGGATGCATTCAGCAACGGCCTCAACTGCAGAACATCTCAACTGCATGGCTTCCAACTGAAACAAGCATTGATTCAGGCTATTTCATGCTGGTATCGCTTCCCCATTCGCTACTTCTTTAATCAAAGCTCATCCAAGCAAATGACTTCTCAGCAATGGCGTACATGACAGTACACAGTAGCACTACTGCCCTATTTCCAGTTGCAGTTCCTGTCAGATGCTGAACACTGCTTATCCATAACTGAAAGCCAATCAGACTAAGAGACTGATAAATGCAGATCATTTAGTCATTCTTATTAAATCCACAAGTGTCAAAGCCGTTCAATACTGGTCTATAAGGTTAATTTTCCTTGGCCTTATTGCACGTAATATGTGATCACTCGGGGGCTAAAGTTCAAAATGACTGACAGAATCGATACAAAAATCACAAACCCAGCCACGCAGCAAGTCGGTTTTGGTCTAATAAATTACGCCATACATTTCATAATGTAGAATCACATGCTGGCTGGTCACCTATTGACCACTCCAGTAGACTGAGGTCAAAAGTTCACAGGCGAGGCTCTGAACCAGTATAAAGGAGGGAGCTTAGAGGTTGAAAGTGCCCGCTAAGAGTAGTGTTAGCACCACCCTGTTGCGCAACCTGTAGCAGTGTAGAGATGAAACGCAGAAGACCCACAGGACCAGTCTAGGGCTTTGCAGTGAAGCCCATGAACCCAAGTGCAGTGTTGGCCTCTTATTGATGTTCATCCCTCACCTCAAGATGACTTCCACCACTCAGATTAACACAGTGTTTCCCAACTCAGTCCTCGGGGGAACAGTCCAAATTTTTGCTTCCTGTACCAGGTATTCGGTGTTCCTGATTGGCTGGTCGCTGGGAGGGAGCAATAACGTGGACTGTCCGGGGTTCCCCGAGGACTGGGTTGGGAAACACTGGATTAACATACAGTACAGCCCTTAACCTCAGAGACCTGGCAGGATTCAGCCCCAAGTCCAGATAGACTTCCCACCCAGACTGACACATACTCGCTCCATTTCACAATGCCATTGCTTCCTCTTTTGCCTCCACCCTCCAATCAAAGTTAGGCCAATGCTGGCTTCTCAGAATCAATCTGACACCTGACAACTTGATCAAATTTAGAGGGGGAAGCCACAGCTGTCACAACAGAAGTGTGGTGAAGCGATGACAGTAAATTCAGAGCAGGACTGAGACAGGGGTTTGGTACCCTATGGCCTGCTCCGTCTCTCTCAATCACGCTCAGCACATAGAAAAGCCCCAACAAAGAAAAGTGGCTTCCTCTGTTGGTCATGAAATGGCACATGATGCACGAAGCCACGAACAGTGAAACCACAAAAAAAAATGAAAATCTACACTAGGCCAGCTACGGTAAATCACATGCCAGCCCTTCAAGGTCTCATTTCCCCTCCTCCCACCAAAACGCTGTGACCATGACATTCCTGTGGCTACAAGACCACACTCCGGCCCAGAGCAAACCTCAGAGTCCTGAGTCGCATGACTTGTTGCCAGAGAACAGGCAGAAGTCGAATAGGGATGTGATCCCACATCCTGCCAGGCCGTGTACACATGTGCTGTATACTGTGAGAGCACTGTTCCTTGAGTAAACAACAGAAAGCCCTGGAGATTAAATCGGGGGAAAAAAAAGAATGTATGGTGCTAAGTTACATGTCTCAAAACAATCCGTTCCCTGTCTCTGTGTTTCCACACAACCAGCCTCAGCCAGAGGAAGGTGCTTCAGGTATTTTCCTCCCAAACCTCCCTGTCTCAGACACCCTTTCGGATCTGTCTGCACTGGCTACTGAAAGCCAAACGTGTACAGTGAGAGATTATGTTAGGGCTTTCACAGGGTGCACTCATATCATATCAGTGCCGGAGCTTTCACAGGGTGCACTCATATCATATCAGTGCCGGAGCTTTCACAGGGTGCACTCATATCATATCAGTGCCTGAGCTTTCACAGGGTGCACTCATATCATATCAGTGCCTGAGCTTTCACAGAGTGCACTCATATCATATCAGTGCCTGAGCTTTCACAGAGTGCACTCATGTCACATCAGTGCTTGAGATGGTGGGTGGATTTCACTATTTTCGTCCTGGAACTCCTCGCCCACTTCCAGAAGCAAGACCACATAAAAAAAACACATTGCTGATTATATCACCGAAATATAATCACCTTTTATGTGGCTCCTCCAGTTCCTCCCAACAGGACCCTACAGGCACATTTTCAGCTACGGGAACCATTGCCAATATTTGGAAATTTCTTGCAATTATAAATTGGGTATTTTTGCATTTTTCCATCAGGAAAACTTTTTTTCAGAATTTAAATTTGAGCTTTAACACAAGGAACAAGTCAAGAAGATCCGTACCATTCGTTTCATAAAATAAAGTAAAAATCCATACATAACTATCAATGAACCAAGAGTCATTTTTATCACAACTTTACAAACTGTGTTGCTCCGTATTCCACCCCCCCCACGCCTAAAATAGGACTGTGATCGACACCCTGATGAGCAAAGCATGACATCCTTGCTCCACTCGAACAGGAAAGTATCACAGGCGAATGGAAAGGGATATGACTTTTGTGCTGCCAGTGTTTAACATGGAGCGAAGCTGCAGAGTGTCTGTAGGAGGCCAGTTATCTCATGAAGCTTCCTCAGCCAGGGACTCAGCCCTCTTTGGAGAGTAAGTGCTCTTCGCCCCAGCCTTGTCTCTTCTGTGACCCGCCATCATCCGTATTCTGCCAGGAACCCGCTTCTGATGTCCTGGAAGAATACAGCTCTGAAACCACAGTAATGTCTGGGTGTATTACACAAAGAATATAATGAATGAAATGATGGTGAGCAGGCAGACTTCTCCCACGAGAAAGGCTTTGTACTTCCTGTCTCTTGAGGAGCCATAGCTTATTTGGGGTCAGAAAACCATTTTTCTTTCCCCACTGACAAGCAGAATACTTGCCAAGGGTATCCTCAGAAATACAAATATTTATCTGAAGCATACGATTTGGCAACCCAACACAATGTTATTTCATGGTGTCTTGGAAGACAATCGTACACTCATGAGAGCCTCATGTTTACATAGTCACAGATGCTTCCAGGAGATGCATTCAACAAAAAAAGCTCCATAGAAAATAACTAACACTTCCAAAACAGAGCCATGAGATAGTTGAAAAGATATGTACAGAAACAGCCTTTTTGCAAGTCCACATTAGCCACCTTTAATGCTATTGTTATGAACCAGTGAGCCAACGTAAGTGTTAAAGGTTGTACAAAACAAGAATCCTATCTCAGGGACCATATCCACTTAAATCAAGAGGTAGAGAGAATTCCAAAAAGCGTTGTGGTTAAAAAAAAGAGAACTCATGTTACACTCTTAAGTACAAGACAAATGTAACCCAGACCACTTCAATAAAAGTTCAAGACTGCTCTATACTTTTAATGAAGATGATACTTTATTTGTCATTTGTACAAACACATACATAAGATTACTTTGGTCTTCTCCTATAAAGGTCAATCTAGGGGTCTGAGACCATGGTTAACCATTTCCTGGTGCACCTGGAGCAGTGTTTGGGGTTAAGGGCCTTTTTAGAGACCCAATGGTGATATGAATACTCTGCCAGCAGCAGGATTCAAAAGGGCCACCTTCAGCATACAGGCACAGCCTCTGCACCCTCAGAGCCTCACACAGATGCATATGCCTGCATTTTATTGTCTGATAAGCAACCGAATCCAGCATATTTCTTAGTAAAGGGAGAGCCTGTGTTTTCTTTCAGAGACCAAAGAAGCCAAGCTGTTCTCCCAAACTCAGAGGACGAAGGGTTCTGGAAACATGTTTCATCTCTACTCAGTGATTCATTTTCCTGACAGCACTTATAAACAGGCGGCCAAGTGAAATTCATTTCTCTGAAGGCGTGACTCTTGTTTTCGTGCAAACTCTGTTATCCGCTCCAGTTATATACAGTTAAAACTTTTCACAAAAAATTCTTTCTGAGAATTTGCAGAGGACATTGGGGTCCATCATGCTGTGTTATTCATAATCTTATGCTCATAAAAACACTAATTTCCAGAGGTGGAAAGTTTAGGTTCAGGAAGTACAAATCCAGACCAAGATTTTGTTTCAACCAACCAGTTGGGCATAAACAGTCACAGTCACAGAGTACTCAACTGGTTGATTGAAACAAAATCTTGGTCTGAATTTGTACTTCCTGAACCTAAACTTTCCACCTCCGACAGTTTCACACTAGTAGCCCTTACTATCAATAGCAGACATTCACACATCCCAGCTGTTAAGAGCAGTGCATGACAGCAGACAAACCCCCCCCCCCATTCCCGACAAACAGCTGCCTTCAATCAGACCACAGTCACACGGACAGGCCACTATGCAGCCCTGGCGATGCACCAGTGACTGATCAAAGTGCAGGAAGTGGTTCCCTGTATGACGCCGCTTCCTCTTCGCACATCCGCCTCGGGGCTACAGTAACGGTCACTTAATTGGAGCATGTATACATCGTGCGAGTCTCAGACACACTGCAGGGACAATCTCGACCCCAACAGATAACCGTCAGTTGCGCGCACCAATGTATAAAGGGCCGGCTAATGTAGTTCTTAAATAGCCATTTGTTCTCAGATACCAGCTCCAATGTAGATCCTCTACAGCACTCAGATGCAAGGGCTATTCCAGGTGCAGCTCACCACTCGTTCCCGAACAATTGGCCGGCACATATTAATGACATCATCATCCTGCAACGCTTATAAAGCAAACACGGCAAAAGCTGGAAAGATAAAATTGGAGCCTGCTTGCTCAAAAAAAAAAACATGAATATCCATCCATGTCATATCTACAGATGAAGTAACAAAAGAAGAGGTCACATTTTGCATATTAGGGTTTAATAACCAACATCCTTTGTGCAGTGACGTTGGTTAATAAACCCTATTATGCAAAGATTAACCTGTTCTTTTGTTACTTGATCTATTCTTTTCTGCAGTCCAGCACTCTGGAAAGTGTAATACGATTAGGGGTGATGCCCGTTTTTCTGTATTCTATATCTACAGATGACCCTGAGGTACTTGCAGATATTAAAACAGTCAGTCAGTACATCACTCCAATTAAAGTTAGTCCTCAAGTATCAAACTGGGTCCCAACTGGCAAAAAATTGGCTACCCAGGGCTGCACTAGTAGGCAGCCCATCTGGGGGAATCGGGAAGCTACTGACAGCATAACGTTGTGAAGACTGAAAACTCAGCTCCCAGCCTGGCCCCTCCCCCATGACCCATTTCTATAATCACGAATGACATGAATGACACACTCAACACCTTACCTGACAGCTGAATTGTGTGTGTCATTGACAGGGCAGCCTTTAGTATTATAAAATAGCAACAATGTCTTCATCTGATGACCGTTCTCACCAATTGTAACAGATGACAGTGAACACTAACTAACTTGCCTTCTTCGTACAATTTGAAGGTCCAGAAAGCAAAGACGAAAAAATGAACTTCAGGGTCGAAAATACCATGTTTTAAGTGGAGGGTGACGACTTCTACGCGCTCAGGTTGTCTTGCAAGCCTCTCTCCGGGAAAGCAGGCCGTACCTGCAGGATGAGCAGCATCTGGATGATGGAGGGCGGCACTCGCGCCCGGGGCCGGGAGAGGGCATCCTCTAGCTTGATGTTGAGGGTGATGATGTTGCGGAAGTGGAGCAGAGCCAGCTGCCGCACCGAAGGCTCCTTCCCCTGTGGGAGATTGGAGAGCCTTTAACAGCATTGTCTATGCAGCGGGCATTCGGGATGTCCCACAATGCAATGCTCTCCAGTCAGAGCTCTGCAATGGGGGAACATCATGCAGTGAGAATGTTCTCTATTAAGATGTTCTAAGATGCAATGCACTGCAATGCTGAAATTTTCTGCCTTTAAATGTGCCAAGTCCTGTGAACATGTCCAGCATAAGCAGTTGGGCGATGGATGGATGGATGGATGTACCAAGTATAAATGCTCTTTATTATTTATGATGATACTATGCTTGATACAGCAATGGTTTTTATACAGGAGTAAATGGAGACAAGCCAAAAAAAAAAGACGTGTACCTGGACAGGATAAAATATAGCCTGAAGCATGGAGAGAACATCGCAGAAAAAGAAGTCCCAAGTCTCAGCTAAAGAGTCCAGCAACTTCTGACCTGTTCACAGTCAGCAGGGAGGAATCAGACAAACAAGGTGATCAAACAACTGAGCAAGGAATTGGAGAATCTGATCGATAAATGTGACTCTTCATTTTCAGTCCAAGCTGCTGCTGTAAGCGCCTGAAACGGCCTTTCCCCAAGACACATTAATAAAGTATCTCTGTTACTGCACACTGTTTAGAAAACTGAATGCACCGTCAGGGAAATTAACTGTCAGATGGGGTCAGATTTTCAGAGGATAGTTGTCAATGTTTCATCAATGTATCTTTACTTGCACTTGTACAAACAGCAAATAAAACTTAATTTCAGTTTAAATGCAAATTACCAAAAGTTTTTGCATGAAAGCTACCCCTTCATACCTTATAAAAGGAAGTGGTGGGAGGGGGCAGGATGGGGTTGTGAGGCATGACCTATAGATCACAATGTGCTGTCGCTGCTCGTCTGATAAGTCATTTCCCAGGCTTTGTGAAGCCTTGCGTTACCGACGGCGACATGCTACACTGCACAGTGTGCATACTAGGCAGCTCCGAGTAACTGGGAGGCTAATACTGCAGTGTGTGAACTCAGGCTACTCTTTAGTCTCTTACTCTGTTTTGGGAGCAAGGATTGACAACATTGGGGTTTAACATCTTGCTGGCCAAGGGCAGTTTTAAAAAATAATATTTCATCTAGCGCATATTTAATTTATTTGCCAGGTATAGATCACATAGAAATTCCTTGGTTTTTACATAAACCATCATTCTCTCCGTGAGACACAGTTTTGGGGTCAGAGCACAGGATCATCCGGCATCCAGGACCCCTGGAGCATTTGGAGTTACGAGCCTTGCTCAAGGGTCTAATGTATATATTAATAATCAGATATTAAATATGCTGTAGCATACTTACCTTCGTAGAATCGTATCTTGTCTCTTAGTATGACCATTCCCTTTGTTAGGAGCTGATTCTGAAACACGAACAACAACAAGGACGTGTAGTATTTACCCTCAGCAGAATGGCAAAACCCACACCCAAGTATCTCCAATCGGCACTGAACGTCTGGGCTCACGCCTCTCACCTGGAGGTACTCTGTGAAAAACGATCCCAGCTCAGTTTTCAGCAGCTGTCTGAAAAAGACAACGAGCAACCAGCATCAGCGGATGTGTAATAGGAAGGACACGATGTAATCTTATACAAGCATCACCATCGCATGTCAAGCAGCCCTATGGCCGTCTGCTTCACCCAAACCAGGGTCCGGCCATAATTGCCATGCAACCTCCACCCCCTGTTTTTTTGCTGCTTCCTCTCCTGCTTGGTGATCAAAGAGGCTTCACGTGACTTCGAAAGAGTAAGATGGAAGCAGAAGCCCACAGAGACAGAGACCACAGGGCATGAGCGGCGTGAGAGCATGGGCTGGGGGAGCAGGTTCTTCCCATTTTCGAATGCACCCCTGATTGGGTCATGTCTACATATCCACACAGCGGGCAGGAAACCAAAGTCAATGTAGACTGACCAATAGATAAGGCTGAAGAGCAAAGTTTCTTAAGCTGATTTTGCATGCCACGCAATTTTCAATAGCCATAAAGGTTTAAAAGTAAGACTAACGCAAAGTGTGAAGAGGGTCGATCACAAGGTGGTTTAAAAAGTGAAAAAATCATAGGTTGTTTTCAAACTAGTAATGAAAAACTGCAGTAATGTCTTATGTACACAGTATGGTAGCTCACTAGATATTTCCATTTGTGTACAATCAAACTGGTTCAATTTAAATTCCAGTTAGTTAATGTTCAACAAAACTAACTGTAATTCCAAGTGGAAAGCACTGGAATTTTATTCTCTCACACATGAACTTCTGTGGATATCTACCTCAGACCACAAATGGCAAATTACATTAGTTGGTTGTCAAAGCGATTTGGATTCTAAGGCAATTAATGGTAAGCTTATGGGAACAGTGCCAACATTCTGGCTAGGATACGGTCCCAGAACCATCTGGCAGAAGCTGTGACACAAAGCTAATCAGCTCCCTCTTTGTCCTCCCAGAAGCGGCGTGTTGACCCAGACCCTGTGGCAAAACACTGACAGCCGTACGCTTCGTTCCAAAAGGTTATTCCTGAGGAAATTAAAAACTGCATAGACAAAGGCTGGATTTTGCTTCCTGGTATTGTTTTATCCTCCCTGCTTAAGGTGGTCGATGCCTTCATTATTGACACGGTTCATTAAGCTAGTATACCTACTCGCATCTTTGATCGTACACAGTCTTCTAGGAAAATGATTAACCTCCGGAACACAATGGCCCACGGACCTCCATGCACAATGCCGGTGTAAAGCCGGCTAACTGAGAAACCATGATAATATCGCAACCAAGACAGGCAACATCACAGACACCCCTAAACGGCAGAAACCTTGGGAGATTTAATCGTCCGCAGTCAGCATGCAGGCATGTGGCTATCCTCCTCTGATGTTCGTTGTGGATTCTCAAGGGCTGTCTTATCGGGGGGGCTGGTTTGTGGGCTGTGTGAGCTGAGGTACAGACACTGTCCTCTGGTCTTCACCTGTCTCACACGTCCCTGGCAGCAGTAATTGGGGCTGTCAGACACAACAGGCCACAGAAGCCAGATCTGCTTTGAAGAACCTCACAGACAGCAGTGTGTGGGGGCTGGGGGGTGGGGCTGAAGGTGAAAGAAAAACAATGAGGCTAGAAACCAAAAAAACAAACAAAAGAGGTGTGCACGAGCACAGGCGCACGGAATACGCACAGAGATCTACCACAAGCATCTCTGCCTGGGGCTGGGGGGCTTTGTGGTTTCTGTTGCTATTGACTTCACATTAAAGATTAGGCCTACCGAGGCAAATGATCTCTTTTCACCAGTCAATGGAAATGTGGCTCATAAAACCCAAAGCGAAGCAGAAGGACAGATGTAGTTTTCCTGCCTCCAGCGATCTGATTCGACGACCTTTTTGTCCGCAGACGATATGATGGTCAGAGACCATGAGGGCTTATCTCTGGACAGATGTCCGCACAGCAAGACTCACCGGACCCCTTCGTTGAGGAGGTAGAGCTCGTTGTCTGCCAGGCCCTTCCTCTGGAAGACGGCGATCACGGCGTTGTGGATGCTGCAGGGAGACCCGACATGCATCTCTCAGGCCTGGAGCCTCAGTAACACAGGCAATGAACCTCTCGCTGGTAACACCAAGATCTGATTGGTTGGTCCCACCTCTCTTCTACAATCTGATTAGTTTTCTCTCGGAACCAATCATTTTTCCTTCTGCCCTCAGAACATTTCTGTGTAAGTGAAACTCCCATAGGCAGGTCTTTCTAGGATCTTAGATTCAAGCCTCAAGCTGAGACGCAGTGAGGTGCTTAATCACGTCAGCAAGCATTCAACTGTTGCATGAACATCATAAAATGATCATCTACATCAGCTTTTCCCAACGCGGTCCTCGGGGACCCACCCACAGACCACATTTTTGAAGTAGAGAGCTGGGAGGGAGCAAAAATGTGGACTGTCTGTGGCTCCCTGAGAACTGGGTTGGGAAACACTGGCCTACATTAAACACCAAGCTAATTACTTCTCTACGGGAGGAAGAGTGATACCTCTTTTAATAACAGCAAATACGCAATAAATAATTAAGCAGATAGACACTTTTAAAGTATCAATACTACCCATTAAAGAAAGGACCAGCAGACAGCCAATGAATTCATTCAACATACCACCAAAATTCTCTCGGAAATGCTCAGCATTGCCATCGTTTCATTTTTATTTGCACAGGTTTGTCTCGTGTTACAGGGCTACAGAGAATTCCCTACTTTAGTAGTCAGGATGCCTCCTGGGGGCGCTGTAGAGCTGCAAGCCTTTTGCATGTCACAGTGTACAAAATAACTCTAAAACCAGCTGTTGCAGCTGCTAACCCTCACTATCAAAGCCAGAACTCGATCAGTTTGCAGCCCACAATGCAATTACACCGCCGGTTACAACGTGATGCTAACATGTTTCTTTCATTAGCACATCCCTGGGGGGCTGTTCTGCACCTTTGGGCCCCCCAGGAGCCGCAGAAGGCAGGCACAGACAGACATGGTGCAGGCACGGAGCGGCGCGCCGCCACCAAGGCTAACTCCGCTTACTATTTATAACCAGGAAGTGCAGCGCACTGGTGCCAGAGCTCAAGCCCACTGCTTCCACAGGAAGTCTTTCCTATTCGCCTGTTTGTTTGTTTAGCTGCTCCACAGATGCTCTTTTCTCCCTCCACATACAGCAGCCTACATAGCTCCCAGCGTCTCTGCTAATCACCCTACTCCACTTCCACCCCAGATGCAGGCGGTGGGTCTCTATGGCAAGCCTGAGGCGGCTGTAGGAGAAAGACGAGGCTCTTTCTGCGTAAAAGGCAGGGAAACATGGAGGCAGGCAGCTTAATAGCCACACCTGATGCCCCACCGTCCTCAGAGGCGAAAGCAAGCCCCTTCTGTTGAGCTCGACACTGCCTGTGCCAGACTGTGAACTGTCATGATAACAAACAGGACCTATTATTTACCTTTCACCTGAAATGCCAGGCTTGTTATTTACCTAAGTGTGATTGTGGCAGGTACTTCTTCAAAGCGGAATGTACCACGGGGCCTGTACCTGTTATGTGCAAGTGCAGCTGAGTGCACACACATACACACACATACACACACAGACACACACATACACACGCATACACACGCATACACACACAGACACACACATACACACACAGACACACGCATACACACACATATACACACACATACTCACACAGACACACACATACACACACAGACACACACAGACACACACATACACACACAGACACACACATACACACGCAGACACACGCATACACACACACATACTCACACATACTCACACAGACACACACATACACACACAGACACACACAGACACACACATACACACACAGACACACACATACACACACAGACACACACATACACACACAGACACACGCAGACACACACATACACACACAGACACACACATACACACACAGACAAACGCAGACACACACATACACACGCATACACACACAGACACACACATACACACACAGACACACGCAGACACACACATACACACACATACACACGCAGACACACACATACACACACAGACACACGCATACACACACAGACACACACATACACACACAGACACACACATACACACACAGACACACGCATACACACACAGACACACGCATACACACGCATACACACACAGACACACACAGACACACGCATACACACACACATACACACACAGACACACGCATACACACACAGACACACACAGACACACGCAGACACACGCATACACACACATACACACGCAGACACACGCAGACACACACAGACACACGCAGACACACACTTCATGTATTCATTCATTTACATATTTATGCGACTTTTCATTCATTTCTAAGGAAAAAACCCTAATCCCAACAATGACAACCCCAACCCAGCCCTAACCTTAACCATAAGTAACCAAACAAAATAAAAGACTTTTGGCATTTTTACTTATTTGATTGCACTCACAGATTTTTATGAACTGAGTTGAGGCCTGGAGGTCCCTCACTCACCGACAAACAACCAGCTCACTGACTCACTGAGAGACACACAGACACCTGACCGGGGCGTACTCACCTATTCCAGGTGGCGTTGGCCCCCGCCCTTCTTTGCTGGGCCCCCCGCTCCTCCAACGCGGCCTTCTCGCTCTTGCCCAGCTCACTGAGGCTGGGGGAACTCATCAACTTCAACCTATGGAGAGTCCTCATGGTGACAAGAAGAGGACGGAGAAGAAGGAGAGGAAGAGAGGGACACTGTTCTCACTGGCGAGCCTCGAGGTGGGCCGGCGCCGCCAGGGCGCTAACAGAGAAACCAGAAGCGCGAGAGAGAGAAACCCCCCACCCTCCCACACGCACACACACACACACACCCCTCCGCCCCCACCCCTGAAGGCGCAGTCGCCTTCTCACGCTGCTGTTTTCAGTACTGTGCTCTGATTGGCAGCCACGAGGCCGTGTGACCCAGTGAGGGATTGTTCTTGAGAAACCAACTCATTTCCTATTCTTGCTACATCCCTTCCTTCTCCAGAAGCAAAGTGCAGCAACCTGCTCACGCCTGAGAACACACACACACACACACACGCACACGCGCACACGCACACACACACACACACACACACACACACGCGCGCTGCTATTTCCACTGCACCAAAAGGCAATAACAGCCCCCCAGGAGCCTGGCCACTCGAATTCCTCAGGGGGGCGCCGCTAGAAGGGGTTAGTCCTTGACATTTACTTGGCGGGCGGGGGTGGGGGGGGGCAACTCATCAGAGCAGCTCTTTAAAAACAGTGAGGGAGGGGCAAGGCTACGGGGGTCCTGCTTCCTGCTTCTCCCCAGTTACCACGGCACCTGCGATGTTCAGCAAGGACCTTCCACCAGCGGGGCACAAAAAAGGGGGAGGCTATCACCAGGAATGGGAGGGGGGCACGTGCTACAAGGGGGCCAAACTGTCCTGAGCAAGGAGCTGAACGAAGGCCTCCTCACACCCCCACCAGAACACACCCCCCACCCAACAACACGCAAGCAGCACTTAAAAACCCTAGAGGAGACAAAGTCACAGCTTACACGGGGCGTAGCGCAGCGGGGCCACAAAGGGCCGCTTCGCCCCTGGCAAGCCTTATTCTGATTGGCTGGGCAGACGGAGACATTCCTGGCAATGTCTCCCCCCGTGTCATGCCTCTCTGCCCAGCAGCAGAACAAAGGAGGGCTTCAACAGGAGCCTGCATCTTAACGGGGAGAAGCAGATGCTAATCTCAGCACGAAACACCGGGAATGTCCCACGAGGGAAAGGCTCTGGCGGTCAGGTCGTCGCCCGGAAGGCCGGGCCGGGGGCACGTCTGACTCAGCACTAGTTCTCACCGTTTCACGAGTCGCCGTTCGTATTCTGCTTGCTCGACTGTGCCACACCAGCACTGGGGCGATGTGCACAATGGCCGGATTCACCAACTACAAAAACGTTGTGTAAAATGTTTCAGCCAGAGAGAACCAGAAAGAGTCCAGAACCTGTACAAAATATATGACTAACACGTCTGGTACCAGTGCTGAACCAGTGCGATATGTTTACATCACCTGCTATCAAACTACTGGGGTTGACCCTTCCTGTCCTGGGGGCACACGACCAGTCCCACCTCAATAACCGTCAGCAGGTGCATCATAGCAATGCTGGAACTGACAGCTCCCCCTGGCCTAGAACAATGACCTTGCCTCCCCAGTAGAGGGAGCCCACAAGCAGACGTGGTCTAGGACAGATATGTAGGTCAGAACTACATTTGGTCCCCCGCCCAGGTACAGTACAGTAGAGTGTGGAAGAATAAGCATTTAGCCTTTAAGACCAGCAGGGATTTCCTCAAACAGACAGCATCACGCCCCTGTATGGCAGAAATACCACCTAATAAAAAGTACACACAGTCACAGAACGAGAAACCCGGTGAGGACCTCTGCCGCTCCCTGTCGATCTTCCTCACCATCACTCAGTTCATTCCATAAAATGTAGAAGCAGAAATCGCAGGAGCATCATTTTTTTACAATAAGAAAAGCTGCAACAGGAACAAACAAGTGCCGATGCACCAAAACACTCCCTGCTTCCTCAGAGGGTTTCTCTCCCACCTGTACAGTGAGATACCTCAGCTGTGCACCCTGCTGTCTCTAAAGGATCCAGTGCCATATATCTGTGGCATCTTTAAGGGTTGGCACAGCGGGGCACGGCTCTGACGAGTGAGCACCAGCATCAGCACCACGGCCTTTCTGCTGACAGGCCTGGTGTGCGTGTGGGAGTCACTGCGGAGGAGGCTGTTCCTCTCCTGGACAATTCTATAATTCCACCCACCGCTGCTCTGTTTACCTGTGTGCCAGCATAAGGGGGCCGCATTAGGAGAGCTGGCGCGGGGGAGGATTTGCACATGATGTCCAGCAGGGGGCACTATGCACTCCCTGCTGCCTTTGTATTACCACCTTAAAGCATCTCACTCAAAAATAAAACAAAGGTCAGTGTGTAGGATGGCAAGGGCAGAACAAAAATAAAAATCGTCCAGTGGTAGTGCGTTTCCCTTTTCCACATGCCAGTCCCACAACAAAAGCGTCCAATCAGACACACCATTGTCTGGTGGTGGGACGGGGGCCGTGGCAGATGCTCAGCAATGACGCTCCTCAGCGCCAAGCACATGATTCAGGCATCCCTGCCAACTGTGGGCTGTAACCAAAACCAAGGAATAAAAACTTCAGCTGGTCAGAAATTAACAGAAGTTTCTGGTCAAATGTCCCCACCACAGCAAACGGCATCAAATTCTGAGGAATTCCACCCTGGTCCTCAGAGTTCAGAGGCTGGCTCCTTTTTTCCTTATTGAACAAGTGAGGGAATATTTCCTTTTCTTATAAGGGAAACCTTCGCAGCTGACATTCACACAAGGTGCCTTTATGGCAGAGCTGCTTCCACACGACCCGCCACCAGGGATGCATCTACTCTTCCACGCATTCTCTGGAAAAATGAGACAGGCCGAGCCACTACAGCGGCAGCAGGGGAAGCCACACGGGTACGTGTCCTCTGGCTGGGGGGGAAAGAGCCAGTGGCCCAATGGATAACCCACCTAACTACAGATCAGAAGAATCTAGGTTCGACTCCTGGCTTCCTCAAGCGTGTCCCCTTGGGGATCGAGTGGCACAGCAGGCTATGTCTCTGCACCTGCAACCAGAAGATTGCAGGTTTGACCCCCGACCTTGACAGAACAGTCACATGTTCATGGGCCCCTATGCAAGGCTCTTACCCCCCAGGGGTGCTACATGTCAGCTGACCCCTTGCTGTGATCCCCAAGCTATGGAGAGCAAACTGACGTTGGTGAAGAGAAGAACTCCAATTTATTTGTACAAATGAAGCATGTTCGTTCATTCTTTAAAAAAAAAAACTGATTTAGAGAAAAGCAGAACAGATCCTATCGCTGGATTTAATGATGCCCTCTTGACGTCCCCAGAGTCACTGTAAAAACCCCACCCAAGCCATAAAGCCCTGACACAGCATGTGCTCTGCAGACTGGAAGTCTCAGGTGGAGCAGAACCACATGGTAGCATGGCTGCTAGCGGCCAGGATCAACTGAGCATGTGACAACCGCCCCCCCATCCAGCATGACCCCCCCCATCCTTTCTGGTCCAATGAAGGACCAACCCCTAAAAGTGGTGATGAATGATGGAACCAAACAAGTTTGAAAACAGGAAATGACTCAAAAGAATACTTCTCTCCATTATTAAGCCCAGAGCCAAAGTGGCTGCAGTTTGGAGGAAGAGTCTTCATTGCTACGCTTCCTGGAAGATTCAAGCATTTGTCATTAGGAGAGCTGAGCAGCCCATGGCACCCTGGGAACACAAAGAGCCCCACCCTCTATCACCACTAGAGATCGACGTCTTCTGTCAAGATCAGCGCTAAGGTTACAGACCACGCATTCGTGGGGCTACATTACAGAATGGAGATGCAGAACAGGTTAGAAAATTAACTGTAATTCCCTCATAGTGAATCTCGAATAATGCAGCTTGTGATATAGCTGGTGTTTGCAATCAGGGCTGGGGAAGGAAAAGGCCCAGACCCTGTGGGGGGGCTTGAGTGTACAAGTATGGATAATAGCAGTTTTGGTTTGGAGAAGGTGGGGAGCCCATTTTTCAGGGACCCAGCCAAGATTCTGGGTAGCCCCCGTGTAACGGTAACATCCATGACTCTAAAGCAGCCAGTGATTTGGTGCATCAATAATTAATATTTTGAATTTATTAAATAATAAAGATGACGCATGTGACTGCGCATGTGACTGCGTACAAAAACAGAAAAGCATTGTGGGCAGGATTGACTGAGCACAGTATAGAAATTACATCACAAAATGCACGCAATGGAAAAATACGTTCGCAACTACAGTCAATTCTAATGGCAATCTTCGTTAATTTCAACACAGAACAAATTAGCAGTGAATGAGGGACAGAGCCTGTCTCACTCACTCAATAAGATGGCTGCTGGAGATGTGGATGAAAATGAGGCATGGAAGATGAACAAAACTAAGTAGATCTCTCACCTCCTAAGTGGATGATCATTCCCTTCCATGTCAGGGCTTGGGGCCTGCGCTGAGGGGGCGGCAAAGCTGACTGTAATTGATCTAGGGACGGATAGGGGCTTTTTTGTCCAAAGAAATCCATCCAGCATCTTTTGCAAACAACAAGAAAACACCAGGCAGATTTCAGAACATTTCTGGGTCCATCATGCGCACAAAGTCAACAAAGCAAAGGGAGAGGCTGGAAGATGAGGCAGGATTTCAATCTTCTGTGTCGAATGCCTTGGAACAAACTGTCATGCAGACCCATGCATGTCCTTCAGGTGCTTACCCGACACCTGCACCCAAAGTGTAATGAGTATACAGTGTTCACCATGTATTCATCACCACATTTCTTTCTGACATGTGTCAGACTAAATACACTGTTCAAAGCCCTCGTCCCTGGGAAACATACCTATAAGCAATTTGCCTCATCTGGTTTCTCAACCATTATGCTAACTGCTGTCCTCTTAAACGTTGCCATTTCTGCTCATTTTAAGCACCACTTCCTGTGACCTGTTCGGGTTTCCTGTTTCACAGCTGTGTCTTGAGGACAATCTGCATATAACCCACTTAAAATCCCCTTCTGGTTTAACCCCAACAAAGAGACTTTCTGCAGCCATATGGGTTTGTATCTCTGGCCATGCAACACTTTCCGTGGTAATATGTAATCAAGGTTGTTTTCTTGAGGAGAGCACCTGTTTATTAAACCATGATGTAAATGTAAATCAGCTGTTAATTGTTTCATTAAATTAAATGTCACAAGATTATTAGTATTATTAACTACAGGTTTGATATAGGAGTCACTTTCAATGAAGGAATAAACTGGTGTCATAAATTTACACCATCCTTTAGTGAAAATATTAGTTTAAGGTACATTAATAAGACTCCCCAGTTCCGGATCTGGAAGGTCAGTATGTTAGTCTAGCTCAGGGATTGGGAACTTGATCCATGGAGAGCCGGTGCAGGTTTTTGGGATGACCTATCAATCAGCCAAAAATAAAGCAGCGGTTCTCGGCTCCAGTCCTGGGGACCCACTGTTATTGGCTGATTGGGAGGCCATCCTAAAAACCCGAACCGGCTCTCCATGGATCAGGTTCCCCACCCCTGGTCTAACTCCTGATTTTTCTTTGTCGTGGCTTTGTGATACCCAAGTATGTTGAGGACTATCCAATACTACTTTCACATGTACATAACTGATCAGATGTATGTAACTGGTTAATCTCCAAGTCACTACGTTAAAAAGGGGCTGTTTAACAGAAGACTGGAAGCGGCCATAACATACTTCACGTTTTACACGAGGATGGCTAAGAAATCACCATTCTGTTATACAAGAGCTACTACTGGTCTCAAGTGTCTACTGCATTGTCGGCTATTGAGACTGGGCTGCCGAATTCATTCATACAAGAACATAGTGAAAAAACTATTTCCTGGCTTGTTTAAAAAATGAAAACAACAACTCTAAAATTGCTGCTTTCATCCTGTCAGGAGACACCCAATCAGGCTCCTCGCTCTGATATTTTTGGAAGAAAAAAAAAGCTCGAACGTCTGTCGATTCAGTGCATCTGCCAATAAAACGCTAATTAAATTATTCAAGCACAGCGAGACGTTTCATCCCACCCCACGATGCACACGGCACTAAACACGCGTCTGTGTGTGCCTGTGTGCTTGTGCAGTAGGCTTCTGACCACGAGGGATTCCCTTCTCCCTTGTATTGATGCACCTCTCATGAGGGGGGCAGACACGCTGTACTTCAGATCTGGGCCAGTGACCCTCCAGCAACGTTCCCACCATTAATCACAGTACAGTAAGAGATGTTATGACAGAACGCTGAAAAAAAACGTCATGCAACAGATGAAGCCTGTGCCTTTGTACTGCAATGATTTTCAGCATTTCAGTTTGCCCTTACTCTAACTAGCTATCTATTACATAACAACAGAAAAGTCTTAAATAATATCAAGTGAATTCTGTGGCGATTAAACTGTGCAGTGCAGCAGGACCCACTAGCAGAAATTACACACATAAATAGCAAGATGTGATACACAGAAAATTAAATTCCAGTGATACATTATGTCGCATATGCTTTGAAAAGCAATCATTTTATGCAGCTTGATACATTTAAACTTTTTGTAAAATTAAATGGTTTAAACGATTTAAACTTGTCTAGTGACAGTACAGCAAGTATGGTCCAGCATGTCAATACTGACAGTATGTATATAAAACATTGCATCAGTCTAACATCTCTGAAACTATGTATCAATATTAATTTATAGTGTCCAGTTGTTGCCGTAAAGGGGAGGGGGGGGGGAGGTTAGGATGATTCCAAAAATCTGTAACATAATTGGATTGGTCTGGGCACCAGAAAATTTTCCTTAAGGACCTTAGAACAGAAACCAACTTCCAAGCGGGAAAGATCGGCGTTACACCCACTAATGTAACAAATGATAACACGCAACAAATTTGTGGGTTTTCTAGCTTTTAACGGAAGTGTTGAGAATGCCATATCCCGTACATGGCTTAGCTGTTATTAAAAATAGTTTAGATGGACGGATAGATGAATGTTACATTAGCGCACTGTAATCAATGGCGCCATCTGTCGTCAAGTCTGAGTAGCATCCTAACATTCCAGGGCAAACTATATTATCACAGACAAGAACAATGCCAGTGCCAGGGAGCGGAGACTCTCAATGGTCCCCGAAGAGACGGCGGTCCTGAACGTCATAAAATCCCGTATTACTCGGTCCACCGTAGGGCACTTCCTCGTAATAAAATAAGAGGATTATGGCGAACTGTGCCCCACGCATATACGGTATTATAACGCCTGTAATCGATGTCCATCTCCCGCTGACGTATTTGTACAGTCAGTATGTATAACTGCGCGTTAATACGTAATGATGAAAACATCTTCAAATACTGAAACATGATGTCTAACTGAATTTTTGCATTATGAAGGCCTATTAATGAATGCACACACATGGTCAATGATGAAGGCAAATTGCACAAACGCATTAATGTGTTCATTAACCATACTGCATTAATCTCCTTCTTGCTTTGCACGTCTCAGAAAAACAAAACATCAAACAATGGACAATCAACCGTATTTCATGACCTTCGCTTAATGATTCAAACGTACACCAATACACACCAGTATAAGTGATAACGCTGTGACAGCTACATTAGCAGAGGAGGGAAAAAAATGGAAAGCAGTGTCCAGCTAAGTGCGTTGAAATCGGAGTCCGACCAAAGAACAGGTTGAGAAGTTTCCAGCTCCCTCGCGGGGAGGGGGTGTAGGAGACACAGACAGTGAGGCAGGGCGCACCCCGCGGACCGCCTGTCTGCCTCGCCGGTCTGGGAATTGTCTTTGCGAAGGGACCGACTTGCATTTTAAATAACTACCACGGGAGCAGAGCTTCGCCCAATGCACACGGCCAGCCCTTGCAGAACTAACATCTCACCCTTCTCACCAATTGTTATGTTCATATACCGCTCAAACGTTATTTCTTATCGAGATACACAAAGGAAACTGGTGATGAGATTAAAGCATGCCGACGTCCCATCCCATACAAAACACACATACATGCTGGACCGTGCTGTGAACGCAGAACATGAGGGTACAGTGATTATACAATACACAGGAATAAGGTATACAGAAACTGATATATTAAGGTGATCTATTCGTGCTGATAAAGATAATGGACAAACACGTCCAGCTACCCACCGTTCTGTTCTGCTTTTTCTCCGGCTGTCTGATGCAAGATATTGAGCTTGGTGTCAACACCCGTCATTAGATGAACCAGGGCTCGCGAAATATACAAACTATAATTAAAAAATAACGCAAACACTATTCTGAAGCACTTCTTAAATGCAGAGTCGTCCACGGGACTTATTTCCATCCGTTACTGTGTTTCCCCGGGATTCGCTCATACAGACGTGGAGGTGGCGGCGGCGCCGGTGAATGTCGCTCCCTGGTCGCGTTTCCCTTCGTCGTTCTCGCGAAGCGGCAGCCCAGACGCCCGATGCCCCTGCTGTGTCGGGGGGCAGTGCCTCTGTGCGCGCAGTGCAGTCCGCGAAAAGTGCGAGAGGGAGCAGCCTGAGTGGGCAGAGCCAACGGCGGGCCGGTGGCTGGAGGAGGCGTCCGGCTGCTGGGGATGCAGCTCCGCTTCTGCTCGTCCAGCATCGCAAGACGCCTACTGTATATAAGCGGGGCGGCCAGCACGCGGGCACCTTAGAACGCAGTAACATTACTGTGCAAACTGGGTCATATTTACTTGTTATTATTGTCATATTATATTGTTAACCTTCGCACGTACAGCGCAACAGTGTTTCCCAGGTTTTGGCATATTCTTTATAGTTTTTCATGATGGAAATGTAGGTCGGGGGGGGGTGTTGGTTTTCGTCTGGTTCAGTGTCAGATAAGCCAAACGGGAAGGTGAAAACTCGTGCAAAAGCACTTCCAGTAAACGTTTAAAAGCCACTGCGTCGACTTTAAAGGTAATGTCGTTTGAGCAACCGTATTAGCTATCCCTACAGGTTGCAAACACGCGCTGCAATATCTATTTCCAACCCAGAACTCTCTGTGCCAAGCTGAAACCCACAGCTTTCCACGCCACTACAGAAACCAGACAAGCGGTCATGGGCGTAACTGAAGCTGCCCCATAATTGATCTTGTCTTCCGAAGACGGGGTCGAAGCAAAAAGTAATGGCAAGAATGACACTCCTCTGCACATGGGCTGGAAAAGAAAAAAATTATATGTGTGTGTGTAATGCATACCTTTATATAAACTCATATATATATATATACATGTAATATATACATACACACACATACATCTGACTGTATGCCTGGTGGGCTTAGCGTTTGGAACTAATTATGGGTTTAATGGGGAGATGATTGACGTAGATTAAATAGAACCAAAGTCCCCTTTATAGGTCATGTTCCCATGGTGGGAGACAAACGCGTTTAAATGACATATGCTCCACAGGAAGACGTTAAAACGGCTATAAAGTCGCAAACGAGAGAAATCTGAACGGAACTAAAGCAACAGCGGTTTGCAATGCTCTGAGTGAAAACGTATGATCACTTAACAGTGCGTCCATAATTAATTTTACTACATGAAGAGCAGTAGCCAAACAGGCCTGGCATCCATGCTTCCAGTTATATCTGTTTACACCTTAATTATATGTTTGTCTATGGTAATGTTATTTTCTGTTGTGCGTTAATCGTTGGCTGCTGTTCTTATGTCTTGTGCTTTATATTTGTCTTGCATTTTCCTGGCACCGAGATCCACGCCAGGATATATGCAAGAACTTCATTGTAGTATGTATAATAAATGTGTCGAACCTTGAACCTTGTTCCAGCAGTGGCCGTATTGTAAAACAGGAACCGTTTAATGACAAGCCAATAAAATGCTCATAAATGATCAGAAAGGCAAACTGTTGACCCTTGAGTTGCAATGCAGGAAATCAAAAATCTGAGATACAGCCGGCCAAAGGGTTCCTCACTGATTTATGGCCAAAAGGTTCAGGTGAGGGAGGCCAGGAGGTGGATGAATCATGGAATGTTCACTTTGCCGTATGTGTTAGCAAAACATATCCAGTTCTAATGCTTTTAGATCACAGGACTCACCTTCATCTTTTATTCATTAATCCACATCCTAATACCTCTATGTGCCGCAGGTTTCCTTCTGACACTAAGTAAGTCTTTTAATTATTTTATTCCTCAATTAATTTACTTAGGTAATTCAAATCCAGCAGCAGGAATCTTCATTACATTGAAACCGGATCACAATGACCCTTCGCTTGTGATGCCTCTGGATGGATATTATTTTTAAAAATTTTCAGCAAGATAAATGTTACGTTAAGGTAAATTACAACAGACAAAGACTCTACCTGTTCTCCGCATCAAAGCGAAATGTACTTTCACAAGTGGCGCTCTTAAGAAATGCTCTGCAGTCTTGACCTCTCCATCTGTGTTCATAGGCTTCTGCCAGAGTAACATTCAGCATTCTCTGTTCCCTTCTTGGTATGTGTGGTCTGTTCAGATAAAGACTGCAATCATTAACAGCAAAGTATGCCTTTAAAAATGGCTCATTTCGCTTTTACTCGTGAGATCTCCCACTCTTCTACAGACTGTATGCTGGCAGCTCTCTCTTTTTTTAAATACCTTTTGTGTTTAAAAAGTCGTACATGAATTAAAGTGGAAGTTTAAGGGAGCGCTAGCAGCACGCTAAAACAGAACTTGCTAATATAAACAAAAGATGGTTCCTCTTCTGTTGTTCAGATTTTTGGAATTATATGAAGGTTGCAATTGCCTTGGTTTCCAAAGCTTTCTGCTGGAATTATCTCAAGCCTGGTCAATACCTCCGACAGCGCATGGTGGCCATTAATGGAACCAGGTTTTAGTCTCAGAATCCCAGTGGGAGGTTGAGTAAAAGTGTCCCGCTGACCTATGCCGTGTTTGCTTTAGCAGGGAGGAGAAACAGTGGAGTCACGACTCTTGAAAATTGAGGTCGACTTAATTGCACACCGTGTCAAGCACACATACGTGTCTCGGTCGTCACATACAAAGACAGTGTCACATGGGCACTGATGTAGACAGACTGCTTATTATGTGGGTACAGAACAGAGGTAGAGATTTCAGGTGCAGAGAGTACAAATCCAGACCAAGATTTTGTTTCAACCAACCAGCTGAGTATAAAGAGTCACAGTCACAGAGTACTCAACTGGTTGGTTGAAACAAAATCTTGGTCTGGATTTGTACTCTCTGGACCTGAAATCTCCACCTCTGGTACAGAATAAAAAGAACCACTGGCATCTTAAACTGTCTCAATGTTGAGGGGTACTGTCAGATCCAGTTCGAGAGGCAGAACTATTTATACTATATTTGCACCATTCACTAACCTTTGGGGCAGGGAAAATTCCTGCTCCCCATGCTTGTAGCAGGAAAATCACTGGTTCCCTTCTGCCGTTCTGTTTAGATACAACCGCAGGGTGGCCAGATTCGCCGCAGACATCCAGCTGATCATAAGCGGCAGCCTGGAATCCCACTGTCTTTAGAAAGGCAAACCTGAGCACCTAAGCACACCAGCTTGTGGAAAACACTCACTCAGCCACACACTCACGTGCTGCCAAGCTACCAGACTCCGTAACAACCATAACTCACAGCTCCCGCTCTGGGAAGCCTTTGTTTAGCCTTGGCAGGAGATACAAACAGGAGACAGCAGAGCTGGGTCACACCATCTTAATGGTAGGCACTTCAAGGCCAACCATCTCCAGTTTAAGGTTTTCACACGAGGGACTGCCAGCAGGCAAAGATATAGGAGTAAGAACACTGACACTTACCGGGTGAGCAGGTGTAGGAATTTGGGTTTTCATCGCGCGGATCCTGTGAGAAATCTCCAGCTTCCTGTCGGCTGTAGGAGCAAAATCCTCACTCATCAGAAACAACAGCTGGCATTTAGTAACTTGCGAGTCTCTGGATTAACTCCTGTTTTTTGATGGGGGTCAAACTGGTATCCAGACAGGAAAGCACAGTATATAATGGGGAAGAGGAAACGCAGACAAATACAGTAGGAGAGAGGCGGGGTTTACCAGTAGCCACTCCCCTTTGTCCCCGACGGAGAGGTACAGTTTAGGGATTAGCTCCCACGCTGCTGCCTTATGCTTGATCCACTACTCTCTGACTTCCTATTTTCAATGGCTTCCCAAAAACAACAGTATTCTCTCTGCTCCCTAAGGGCTGGTTTATACTCGAAGCTGACAATGCGTCCATGTACGCATCAGGGCCCCCACGCTTTTTCCACCTAGACTCCACACGTCGTCTGTGCACCTACGCCAGGAATTAACACTACGCATTATATAATGCATATAATGCAACATTCAACATGAGCTAGTAAAGTGATACGTGGCAGAGCGAAGTACCAATATAATGTGGAGCAGTGGGTGGAATATAGAGAACGCGGCAGCAGTATTATAAAATTAGCAACTCGCTGTGGAAGCAGTGAGTGTACAACATTTTATGCCACAACCTCATACAAAAACGTAAGACCGGAAACAAACTGCGATGGTTTTCTCACACTGCCCCCTAGTGGAAATAACTTTTAGTCCTCCAGAATGACGTAAAATACGTGTGCAAGTATGAGCAGTGGCACCGTCTGCTTAGCGAAAGGACACATAAACAGACAGTGTAACCTAGCTTCAAGAGGTCACTCTGTGTGCATAGCAAGTACACCTACTTGATGGCTTCCTTGATCTGATTTGAGTGAAAACAAATACAGTAAGAATGACAGTGAGAAACGCCCGCAGCTGTCATTCCTATCCACGCTCCTCTGCAACTGTGTACAAGAGAAACACGTGCTGAACAGCAGCTGCTGATATGAATCTGGTATGTTTCATTTATTAAGCATTCGGTAGAAGCCCATTCGCATGGTGCACAGTGTGTTTGATATCAGCCAATTGAGGTGAAGAGGACCTTAAACGTCGCCAATCAAAGCACAGCTGCCTGTCACGGAGGATCCCCCTGACCAATCTCTGCTGTGCCGGCAATGTGAGCTCTGTGATTGGCGAAAGAAGACGAGTCACTACTCTGGCCACTATATTCCTTTATAGATATATGGTCTAGGGAAAAAATTGAACGCAATTAGTAAAGTATACAAGTGTGTTTGGCTTCAAAGAGACTCCAGTGAGCAAAATGAGTTCT